TCGGTTTAAAAAGGGAAATTAAAAAAAAAAAAAAAAAAAAAAAAAGAAAGATTCAAAACGAAAGCTTCTCTTATCTCTATCTTGTTATCTAAATTTACATATAACTGCATAATAAATTAATTTCTCGTCGATGATTCTTTACTTGATGCTTCCTATATGCGGATTAACTTTATATGATGATGGATATTTGGGGTCTATCATATCAGCCAGGATACCACGAATCTGTAGAATCGACTGCACCTTCGAGTTCAAGTGCCTCTACTCTTGTACCGCACTTAACTTACTTTATATCGACATTAAAGGTGAGACGATATGGACGACTGTGAAGACAGGATTAATAGGCTTTTTAACCCGGTATTCCTTACTTTTTCCCGACAGAATTATTTGTCACGTTTAAAATTATATGTTCCTATGTTTTCAACAGTTTCCTAGACATATTAACATGCTACATAAAGTCTGTAATCTTTCAACAGGAATACTGGCCATTCCAAAGTGAAAGCTCTGTCAAGAGGTCTCATAGAACAGCCCCAGTAGCATTCATCGACGACGTAAGAAAAGAAGCAGTTGTGACAAAACGCACCATGCCTGAAAGGAATTCCGACTTGAGATACCAAAACGTGGAAGATAACTTGGACATCTTGTACCGTAATACTGCTATACCAGATGAGACATTTGGACCGGATGAAGAAAGAATATTCATCGATGTCGATCCATATGATTTAGACGAGTCCATGTTTGGACTAGATCACAGCGAGCCAGTGAAAATTACTCCTGTTGTGAATAAAGATAGTTTGGTCACTCCTGCGAAATCTGATATAAATTACGTTGAAGAATCTTTAAAGAACGTCAAGAGACAATGGCACGATACATCAGAAGTTAAAAATCATTGGAGCCCTACGTCTAAAAACCAAAATGAGAAATCTGTAAACTTGGCAACTAGCTCAGATAACATTAATTTGGAGATGTACTATATGCCAAACTCGAATATCAAGGAAACTACAGAAAAATTCGAAGACTCCCATGACGAAAGTACTGACAAAATAGCTCATGATAATACTGGAAATGAACATGTTTCACCTACGATGTCGCTCAAAGAAATGGACGTTGTTTCAAAAAAATCAAATATTAGTGACGAGAAAATAAAAATATTAAATCAGACAGAAGACTACGGGGAAATTTTTGAGGAAGAAATGAAAAAACGAAAAGTCTATGTTGAAAATGATACGGTTGATGATAGTATTATACAAGCAGCTACGTCTAGAGATTTGGAAGACGATTTAATCGATTTAGCGTTAACGGAAAATCAAGAATCCGAGGAAATCGAAAAAGATGTAAAAAATCTGCTACGAAATCAAGAAAATCGTAACAATTCGTTTGAGGACACAACTGATTTTGAAGAACGATCGACTAGTGAAGAAACACAGAAAATGAACAAGTTTTTGGATGTAGCGACTACATCCTTTGTCGGACCAAATGCCACTATCGAGTCTACAATCGCGTCTCTTAGTATATTAGGTAAACGCAATTTATTCTCCTAAATTAACCAATTAATGAAATTAAAACGGTATACATTTTTTTAAATAAATAATATACAGATACGGAGGATTTGATTTTCGAATGGGTTACAACAGATTGGTCAAAGTGCTCCCAAACTTGCGGAGGAAGCGGATTTCAGGTAACTTAAAGAAGCTAATTATTGACCTTGAAATAAATTAATTAAATTACAATTTTGTTTGTACTCACCAAGATGCGAAGAGCCCAATGTACAGTTCGAGCAGCAAAACCGATTAGAAACACAACTCGTACAGCACCTCAGACAGTCGTAGAGGCAACATTATGTGAAGATGCTGGACATCCTGTACCTCAGAAAGTCAGACCTTGTGGGTTTGGTAAATGTCCTCAATGGCATACAACTGAATGGACCCCGTGTGAAACCTCCAGATGCTTCACTTGGAAAACTGCAATGCAGAGACGTAATATTACTTGTCGTTTGGTCGAGAATATAGAAAGCAGACAACAGAATATCACATTACTTGATCCTAATAAGTGTGATGATACTACTAGACCTCTTCAAAGACAAGAATGTTATAATGATGCCTGCAAAGGAGTTTGGAGAGTTGGAAATTGGTCTGAGGTACTAATATTATTGATTACCTCTTATCTGTTTAATATAAACCTTTAATTACTCTCAAAAACTATAATTTGGCTATTGTTCATAGTGTACAGCATCATGTGAAGAAGATGGTATCAAATACAGAATTTTACAGTGCGTTTGGTATGGCACAAAGAAACCAGCTGGTAATGCGTGCAGAGATATTCCACGACCTCCTGTTATGAAGACTTGTAGAGGTCCACTATGTCCTGGTAAAATATACTTAGAATCTAAGATTCAACTATGGAGAGATTCAATTTTATAACAATTAGTCTAAATGATAACTATTTTCCCAGATAACTGCAAAGACCATTCGCAATTGTGTAGCAGAGTGAAAACAATGAATAGGTGCAGAGTGCCCCTTTATCAGAAGCAATGCTGTCAATCGTGTCAGCAATTGTCAGCAATTGTTGGTACGAAAAGAAACGTTCTAGATAAAAATTGATGTAATGAGAGGTGTGCGCTAGGAGAATGTCATAGTGAAGACAACGAGTTGATGATTATCTTCGTGAACGTTCGCTAAAATGCTCCCTGAAATGCTTGTCTGTTAAAAAAAATAAAAAAAAATAAAGAATTGTATTTGAATTTACGAACATATGCAGCTAAAAAATATGTAAGAAATATTGAAGAAACGGTATCGACCAAATTACTTCCGCTGGTAATTGTTCCCCATCCTTTCTCCGTGCCCTGGAGCATAACGTGTTCGCGTCTGTACACTAGATTCTTCTTGCACCCACTAAGAATCTAATTTCCAATTGTGTGCTAATTAAAGCTATAATTTTCGGACGTGTATCACGTGTAGTTTGGCACAACTCCTAATTGCGCACGCTCATACCGTGGGAAGAACAAGAAAATCCCGGCATTCGTCCAAGAAGTTAAGAAATTATATTGTTGAAGTTCAATAAAACCGGAATACTAGAAAAAATATTTGTAGCTTGAAAGGAGCTACCGCGATGTTATCGTTGTGAAATGATACGTCATCAGAGTTCGCGTGACGTTGAGGTTACGAAAGACGAGCTTTACAAAGCTGTTCAAATTTTAAATGGAAATGTTACATATGGGTGGGGAGGGGTGAACGGAACAGTAATCTTGATCATATTGTAAAAAGTAGCACAAAAATTAATTCTCCGAAGCTTTATTTTTTTACATGTATTTCTTGGATGACACATGTTCGATCTCTCGGTTCCCGTTTCCAAAATACACGCGGTTCTCGTCAACATCATTTTTATCGAAGACTGAAAAATGCTACATACTTGTTCTGCATAATTTCGTGAAGTTCACCGTTCCCATCAGACATTCGCAAGAATCGAGAAATCAATTTCCATTTCTTACGCTCCAAAGAGTCTTCACACGCATTCCGCTGTACCCTTCCAAATAGAAGAGTGTTACACGCGTTTTGTTATGTTTCCACAGGGGTATATTTATTGCAACGTTACTTCTAAGTTCCACAATACACTATACAAATTATTAAATGAACGATATTAAGTTAATGAATGATAAAGTATAAAAGTTACTAACGATATAAGTTATAAATGAATTATTACGCGCCTATAAACGCCTCATGAGGCGTATGTAAGCCAATAGATTCTAAGCAATAAAATATATAGGTACTGTAATATACTATTTTGTTAATAACCTCTGGCGAAAATTCGTTAACATGACGTTCCATTTTTAAACAAAACCGCCCTAAAGAAATTTACTTTTATGCTTCTGATCATGTGGTCATAAAATGGCCACATTTACATGTAATCATTCATGATAATCTAATTCTTGTAAAATCTTTAATTTGTTTATCTAATATGTATAAATCTTTACTGAAAATATCGTCTAATTTATTTATTATACAAAATATTCTTTACTGCCATTTTTTAAGATTTTTATGTTTTTGTCAACTCTATTTTCTATATTGTGAACAGATTTTCGCTACCAATGAATTTGCCTCAACACAGCTAGACAGTTTGCCAAAACGAACTGACGTTAATGAAAAGAGATATAAATAAATTAGTATATTATTGAAATTGAAATAAAAAATCGAAATAAAAAAAAAATATATATATATATATATGCGTGTGTAATATATAATATATATTATATATATTATATATTATATATATACATATATATTACAAGCTACGTAAGTAACATAAAAGCACACGCGGATAAAAATGATTTCACCACCTTAAACGCAGGTATAAATGTATTAAACAAGATCGAAATATATTGTCTTACAGTATATTTATAAATAAATTCTGTACATTACCGATATATTTCGATGAATATTTAGTTAGTATTTAAATCCATGGTAATTGCTATTCGACCCAACGAATCACAGGAAGTATGTGTTTCTTTAATATCATATATCAAATACACACAATTTCCCGTGAATTGATTTCTGATACCTGCATTTTTGTATATATCATAATCTAGTTATGTAAAGTAACTCCACGGTATTATACGAAGAGCATTATTGTTCATTATATCTATGTAAATATGTAACTGCCTAAATACAAATAAAACCAGAGAATATATCACTGCACGGTATCTTTATTCATTTCAATATATTTAATTTAGTTGGGATATAAATTTATATTTATTGCTTTTATAATTGACAATAATTGATCTAAAAATTGATAACAATAATAAATGAGATATGAAATATCCGAACAATACGAAAATTTAGTTCATCAGTCCCCAATTTCGAAGAACCTCATCTTTAGGAAGAGGCCAAAGCTTTTTCAATAAAGTCCATCCCGATTTCTGAGTGTTAAGCAGATATTCGTTTTGTGGATCATAAAGATGAGAATAAGCACCCATGACTAAACTCTGACAAATCCTCGCACAAACAGTAACCTTTAATATTTTTTTCTCAAGATCTGTCAGCCTTTTAACATTCTGATAACCTTCAACAACATGTTTACCCATCGCTACGTCACCAGTCTGTAAAATCATATAACACAGCGTGATAGCTAAATCGAAAATTAGGCATGTCCGATGCGAGTCGCCAAAATCGATAACGGCAGCTATTTCTCTGCCATTCGAACTTATTACTAGATTTTGTTCGTTCAAATCGCCATGTATCATTCCTTGCTCAAGCTGCGATGTGACCTGGAGTACATCCTCTTCGAAAGCTAGTATCACTTGATGTGCTAGTTCCCTTTCAGCTGCACTCTTTACAGCAAAAGTAAATTGTCGCAACTCTGGTACAGAGCTTAACATCCACAAAGTCTTATGATCATTGTAAGCTGGATGAGAGAAGGTCATTAAAACGTTGCTGAGTTTGGCCGTGAAATTACCTACATGTCGAAGAAGTTCCCCAGTAATCGGCATACGAGACAACAATTCACCAGGCCGATAAACTAACAGTTTCACAGCATAACTTTCGGTGCATCCATCAACGTTTAGTTTAACCAAAGTGTGATATAATCCGTGTATAGTTTTCACAGGTAAAGGGCAACTAATACTTTGTTCATTCAGAAATATCAACATTTCATTCTGTGCATCAATGACGTGTTTTTTTTGCGAATCTAAAGAATTAACGATCTTCAAAACGTAGCCATGTTTATTAAGAATCGTTATATGAGGGTTCGTATGTGATTCCTCGCAAATTACATGATAGTTTCTATCATCGTATGCATTTAGTTCGGTTATACTCGACGATTTTAAGCCGTAAAGTTCTGTTAAAAGTTGCAAGACTATTTCGTTATTGCCCGGTGGACGAATTCGTTGACCTGGTATTAATATGGCATTATCTTTCTCCATTTCTATATTATTTCTATAAATAAAACACAAAAACTATATAAACAAAATACATATATTGCAATTCTAAAGTTTTATAAATTAAGTACAGAATGAAAAACGAGGAAACGGTTTCTAACTCGTGAATCGTTATATATCGTATATTTTTATTTTCACTTACATTTATATTTGTTATATTAAATTGTTGTAAATTTAAAATACAAACTACTTACGCAGGAGTAAGAAGAATTTTTTGTCTTCCTGTCCAAGTGAACTGGTAGTGTAGTATACGCAATAAGTACATACAGTTGACACTCAATTACTTCTATGATAGGGCGTAAATGTACGATGATTGATATTTATTATTGCTCGTGATCCGACACAAAAGGCTTTAAATATCTTTTAGGTTTAGTATTTCTATACTAAGAGACAATAAAGAATCTCTTATCATTATGATAAGGAGAATAAACACTTTGTTCAAATCTTGAGATCATTAATTAAAGCAATATTTCTTTGCCAATTCTTAAATTATTTATTATCATTTTTCCAACATGCGATAAATATTAATAACATATTAAATAAAACTTGGGCAAATTATTAATCGATACAAATTTTAATCAAATATTATGTAATGTAAATTCATTAAATAATTAAATAAATATTTCTGATTTACGTAAATTAATAATATCTATTCAAAAATTGAATATAAAATGTCACTTTTCACCATTCCGAAATTAAATAAATAATATACTTACATATTAATAAAACGAATTCTTAATGTAATTTGTAGAACCATAAACCCCTTTTGCAACATTAATAAAGAAAAATTTTTATCTAAAATGTCCGCCGTGTACATTTTTTGAATAAATATCGATTTATTTTACAGATATCGATCCGCGCATTATGTTGTAAAAGCTTTTATATGTAATCGTAACTTACACAGTAAATCATTTAAGTAGAATATTGAAGAATGTATAACTGCTTGATTTAATGATTATTGTTTCTACGTTACGTGAATTTAAAAACATAAAACCGAAAGTTTAATTCATGATTCATATAATTAATCATTAATACACTATTAAAAAAATAAGGAAATTAAATTATAATTAACAATATTTTAAAGAAAATGAATGATGTACCATTAACATACATTACATAGATTATATAATTTTAAAAAAGGTATACAAATATTATCATCCAATGCAACTTTAGTAATTTTAGTTGACCAATAAAATTAGAGAGCAGGAATTAGAGAATAATACATGGTGCGCAATCTATGATTTACTAGTACGTGGTATTACTAATTTTTGCGGGAATACGTTGAATAGATATTATTTTGCGTTTTGTGGAAGGGACTTCTTTTTAATAGTTTCATAAAATCATAAAGTGTTTTATAACTGTCTTAAATTATTTCTTATTTAAAGTGTAAATAACAGTGCTATTTGTTATATAAAGCCATGGCTGTCCAACCAAATCAACAATTTAATATGGGTTTGCAAAACGCAATATGTTTTTTGAAATTTGTTATTTTATTTTTAATTTGTAAATAATTATACATGAAATATGTTTTAGATCCATCAGGTCAACAAAGTTTCGTTAGATTTTTTAAAAATCTACCAGAAGTAAGTAAATAAGATACTTTGCAGATTCATTATTATCAATTGCTTTTCAATATTTTGTAATTACTGATTTTACTTATGATTACAATAATTACTTTCGATGATTCTTAATAAAAGGAAAAGAGTAGAGAATACGATTCAGAATTTATTTAAATAACTATAGAGTATATTATAACCTTATAGCAGTGGACTTTTATAATACTACATTAATTTCCTGAAATTATTAAATTAACAATTTCAATGACAATAATACAAATATGACATTGATAAATAAACCATATATAGTAATTATTATGTCAATAAGAATTTATATTATTAAAAATACATTACATATAAATAAATGTTGTTAACAAAATTAAAAATTATATTTAACCAAAAATATTTTTAGCCTTTTCTTTAGCTTTGCCAAAAGTAGATGTTATTTTATGACCAACTCGTGACCAAAAAGATGATGAATGTGGTGCTTCGGTAGTAACATTTATATCTAAAGGCTTTACAGGTAATGGGGGAGGTGTTAATTCATTTGCTGTTGTTGTTGCTTCTGGCTTTTCTCTAATATCCCATGAATCCATATTATTTATAGATGATAATGTAGCACTAGGATTTATTGTCACTTTTGAATATATATCATCGCCAATAGTTGGATCATATTGTCCACCTCCATAAGTTTCTAAAATTCTTGGTATTGGTTTAGGTTCAGATTCAGAAGTTGTAACATATTTTTCTAGATCTCCATTTCCTCCTAATTGCTGATCAATTATTAATTTATTTTCTGTTTGATCATAATTAAATGTCCTTTTTATAGGAATAATTCCTGGTCTGAATGCATAATTCTCAGATTGCTTTGGTAATTCTAATTGTTGATGTGGATTATTAGCTGTATATTTATTTTGTATTTCCTGATTTAAATTTTGTTCTAAATTGGAGAATTGTATTTTTGATTGCTGTTGCAAACCTTCTTTATTCTTTTGATCTGTTTGTTGTACAAATTGCCTTTGATCACTTGGATGATATGTATAATGCCATTGTAAACCCACTGTTGCATCATTCGACTTATGTAGTAAATTTACTTGGTCTACATTCCCTCCCTCAATGTCATATCCAGTACTACCAGTTTGTTGATTGAAATTTTTAGAAACTACATCTTGTGTCATTTGCAATTGTCTTGCATTTGTATTGCGAGAATTATCAGTACCAGTTCCTATACCAACTTCTGGAGGTAACTCGTATATATCCGGTATTGTATCTTCACCATTAGGATTCACAACATTTGGACTATCAATATTATGAGCATTTTGATTTGGCACCTGCACGTTTACTGATGTCCCAAATCTGGAATACCTTGATCTAGGTCTTGGCTTTACAGCAGGTTTAACAGAATGTGGTCCAAGATCATGCTCTGTAGTCATATCGTCTAACTGTTGAATAAGATGAGTAGCACTTGGTTTCCAAGATTGATACAATTGTTGCGATGCTCGATTAAATTCAAGGTTTCCAGCTGTATGTTGTGTAATGTCATCAGATCTATCTGTTTTTTGTATAAAGTCTTCTATTCGTTCATTGGCACTTTCCAGTTTCCAAGGTTGATAAGATTGTTGTGATTCCAGACCAAATGCAAGTTTTCCTGCAGATTGTTGTGTAAGGTCATCAAATCCATCTGTTTTTTGTGTTGAGTCTTCCAATTGTTGATTGGCACTTTCTGGTTTCCAAGGTTGATAAGATTGTTGTGATTCCTGGCTAAATTGAAGTTTTCCAGCAGTTTGTTGGGTAATGTCATCAGATCCATCTGTTTTTTGCGTCAGGTCTTCTAATCGTTCATTGGCAGTTTCTGACTTCCAAGGTTGATAAGATTGTTGCGATTCCTGACCAAATTCAAGATTTCCAGCAGTTTGTTGTGTAAGGTCATCTGATCTATGTGTTGTTTGCATAAGGTCTTCTAATCTTTGATTGGAACTTCCTGCTTTCCAAGGTTGATAAGATTGTTGTGATTCCTGGTCAGATTCAAGGTTTCCAGTAGTTTGTCGTGTAAGGTCATCAAATCCATCTGTTTTTTGTGTTAAGTCTTCCAATTGTTGATTGGCACTTCCTGGCTTCCAAGGTTGATAAGATTGTTGTGATTCCAGACCAAATGCAAGTTTTCCTGCAGATTGTTGTGTAAAGTCATGAAATCCATCTGTTTTTTGTGTTAAGTCTTCCAATTGTTGATTGGCACTTTCTGGTTTCCAAGGTTGATAAGATTGTTGTGATTCCTGGTCAGATTCAAGGTTTCCAGTAGTTTGTTGTGTAAGGTCACCAAATCCATCTGTTTTTTGCGTCAGGTCTTCTGATCGATCATTAGCACGTCCTAGTTTCCAAGGTTGATAAGACTGTTGTGATTCCTGGTCAGATTCAAGATTTCCAGTGCTTTGTTGTGTCAGATCCTCAAATTCATCTGTTTTTTGCGTCAGCTCGTGTAATCGTTCATGAGCACTTTCTGGTTTTGAAGGTTGATAAGATTGTTGTGATTCCTGGCCAAATTCTAGTTTGCCTGCAGTTTGTTGTGTAAGGTCATCAGATCCATCTGTTTTTTGTGTCAGGTCTTCTAATCGATCGTTAGCACGTCCTAGTTTCCAAGGTTGATAAGACTGTTGTGATTCCTGGACAGATTCAAGATTTCCAGTGCTTTGTTGAGTAAGACCCTCAAATTCATCTGTTTTTTGCGTCAGCTCTTGTAATCGTTCATGAGCACTTTCTGGTTTTGAAGGTTGATAAGATTGTTGTGATTCCTGGCCAAATTCTAGTTTGCTTGCAGTTTGTTGTGTAAGGTCATCAGATCCATCTGTTTTTTGCGTCAGATCTTCTAATTGTTGCGTGGAACTCTCTGGTTTCCATGGTTGATAAAATTGTTGTGATTCTTGGTCAGATTCAAGGTTTCCAGCAGTTTGTTGTGTAAGGTTATCAGGTCCATCTGTTTTTTGCGTCAGGTCTTCTAATCGTTCATTGGCACTTTCCGGTTTCCAAGGTTGATAAGATTGTTGTGATTCTTGGCCAAATTCTAGTTTGCCTGCAGTTTGTTGTGTAAGGTCATCAAATCCATCTGTTTTTTGCATCAGATCTTCTAATTGTTGTGTGGAACTCTCTGGTTTCCCAGGTTGATAAGATTGTTGTGACTCCTGGCCAAATTCTAGTTTGCCTGCAGTTTGTTCTGTAAGGTCATCAGATCCATCTGCTTTTTGTGTCAAGTCTTCTAATCGTTCATTGGCAATTTCTGGTTTCCAAGGTTGATAAGATTGTTGTGATTCCTGACCAAATTCAAGATTTCCATCAGTTTGTTGTCTAAGGTCATCAGATCCATGTGTTGTTTGCATAAGATCTTCTAATCTTTGGTTGTAACTTGCTCGTTTCCAGGGTTGATTAGATTGTTGTGATTCTTGGCCAAATTCAAGATTTCCAGCAGTTTGTTGTGTGAGGTCATCAGATCCATCTGTTTTTTGTGTGAGGTCTTCTAATCGTTCATTGGCAGTTTCTGACTTCCAAGGTTGATAAGATTGTTGCGATTCCTGACCAAATTCAAGATTTCCAGCAGTTTGTTGTGTAAGGTCATCAGATCCATGTGTTGTTTGCATAAGGTCTTCTAATCTTTGATTGGAACTTCCTGCTTTCCAAGGTTGATAAGATTGTTGTGTTTCCGGGCCAAATTCTAGTTTGCCTGCAGTTTGTTGTGTAAGGTCATCTGATCCATCTGTTTTTTGCGTCAGGTCTTCTAATTGTTGATTAGCACTTCCTGGTTTCCATGTTTGATATGATTGTTCTAAATTTTGCTGAAGTTTTTGGATTTTGGAAGTTTGCTGTGTAAGATAAGGAGATTGTAATGTTTCCTGTGTATAATCATTATTAAAAAGTTTACTTTCTCTTTGTTGTACTCCTTCTTGTTTATCATAGTTCACGTTACGCTTATACCTTGTTTGCTTCTGGGAACTACCATATGATTGTTGTGAATTATGTGTACAATCTACAACATCTGCTCCTCCACTTATCTGCTCCTCACTTGTCCCAAATATTAATTTTCCTAATGGTTTTTTTCTTATGTTATTGTAACCATTTTCCTCAAATTTATATAAATTACTGGTTTCTTGTTGTATTCCTTGATGTAAATTATGGCTGTTTTCATATTGATTATTATTATATGGGAGACTGTGCTGGTTTATATGTGAAATATCTATAGAATGGTGAGGAACGGATGCTTCTTTTGTATGACTAGATGTCCAGTGTTCTTTGTAATAAGTTTTATGACCTGGTGGGCCTGATTGAATTAGTCTATCTTGTCTCTGTCCATTATTTCTTAAATTGTCAAGGAACATCTGATTCCGAACAAGTTTTGATTGGTGTTCATCTAAAATTTCTGTTTCTAAGTTATCTGTTAGATGTTGTGAGGTTGACTCACTAAATATATTCTTTTTGTAATCACTGTCTCCAGTAGTTAGTACATTTGTAGTATATGATGTAGGATTAATAAGTTGGCTAGTTGGTTGAAATTTCGTTGCATATCCTCCATGCTTTTCATATGTACTGTAACTATTTGTACCATAACTATTTTGATAAGGATTACTATAAGGTAAATGTTGATTTGTTTTGACTGAGGTATGTTGTTCTTCATTACGATTTGTTGCAGATAAGATATTTCTATCATTTTGATCTTTATAATTATTATTATTTATATTGTATATAGAACTGGTCGATAAACCATGAGTATTAACACGTGTTTGTGCTATATTACTAGATCCTATGGATTTTGCTGTAGAAATATGATTGTATTCTTTTCCAAATTCTGTATGAAGTTTCTCTATTTCACTTTGTATATCTTGCATTCCAGTTTTAATAGTTTCAGGAATAGGAGTTCCATCAGATGAACTATAATTGGAAGTATAATTTCTTTTATAATAACGAACATTTTTATCTCCTGATACGTAATGACCCTGTTCTTCAAAAACACGGCCATGCCCTCCATCAGTTTCATATGATCTACTCCAATTTTCAGGCTGTGTATTGATATGATAAGGTTCTTGTGAATTTTGTGTGGTCAAAACAGATGCACTTTGTGCATTTGTTTGTAAAGTACCTCCACTATATTCTCCAAGATCTTCAAGTCTTTCACTTTGGGTTTTACTTTGTCTATGTAATGACTGAGTGTACTGTTGATTCTGCGTTCTATTGTATTTATATTGTTGTGCAACTGATTCAGTATTACCTAATTTATTATAGGAGTTTTGAGTAGGTATATGTGTATTATATTTATTATTTTGATGTTCAAGTCTTAATAATTCTTCACCATTTGGATAGTTTGTATTGTGAGAAGAAGTATAATTTTTCTTATAGTACCTTACTGTCTTAGGTCCTTCGACATATTGACCTCGTTCTTCATGCACTTTTCCATGTCCATTGTCTGTATCATAGTCATTATGCTCAGACCATGTACCAGGTTTAGAATAATCAAGACCTTGTAAATGTGAACCACTTTGTGATAAACTAAAATGATTTTGAAAACTACCAGAAGTTTGAGTTTGATACTGTTTAATATAAGAATCACAAGATTCTATGCAGTTACTTGGTGCAGATAGTACATTTGTTATTAACAAAGATAAAATGAAAATATTTTGTACCACCATGTTATTAATTTGGCTTCTGAAAATATAAAATTTATTTAATTATTTTTTATGAAAACGTACATAAATAAGTTTTTATATTCTTATATATTTATACATTTTATTCACACAAGAAAATAATTACATTTAAGATTACACTTGCAATAATGTTAACATTGTATTCCTTCATACAAATTAAAATTAAGAATATAATTACCGTATATTAAAAAACAAAATCCATTTAATTCAGAGTTCAGAGTTAGTGATGGAGATGATCTCAATAGCAGTATATGTTGATATGTACTACATGCAAGTTGGAGCAATTCCATTTATGTCGGCTCCCCCTTCTTCACCATATCTTTGAAAACATTCTCTTTCATTCTTACATGATGATAATGTTTTCTGTGCATTTTATTCCAGCTCATATACATTCTTATCACTACTAATAATTCACAGTAACAGTATTCATTTCTGTGAAAAGTGAAACTGGCCAATATTTGCAGGTCCCAATTAATTTTTTTTATTATTTAGAAATTAATAATTTTCATCTATTCATTAGGAATGGTAATTTAATTTTTATATATAATGCCATATGGATTTTACATTAAACATTTAATATCAAATATTTTTTAAAATCATGTATAATTAACAACATTTTTAATTAAATAACTGTAAAGTTTATGATATGCTAAATTAATTATATGAATTAATTTAAAGAAGAAAAATTTATTATAATTATTATAATATATTATTTCTTTATGTTTCTTGCAGACATGTATATACATTTCTTCAATTTTTTAGTAATAATCATATTAATGACTTCTAATAGTAGCTATAATTGTATTTTGATATGTCATCAATGATGTCATTCTCAATGTGTAATATCCTTGTTGTGATATATGAATTTATGCTATTTCATAATAGGTATAATTTCAAGGTGATCATTGAAATCAACACAGAAACACATCCATAAGCATTCTTACAGCTTTAACTGTATAAAAATATTTAAAGAATTGAATATTAGAGTAAATTAAAATAGTTATGGTATTTGTAATGTTTTTGTATTGGCCTACATGAAGTATATATTACTGACCTTCCTGGAACATGAACTGTGATCTTTTATCAGAATATGAGTAAATAACATCTTCAAGATAGTGTCATCATTGAAATTTCTGGACTATCCTGACAAATTAATTTTTAATTGCATGTTAATCAGTAATATATTTTCATACAACATTTAAGTAATAATTGATATATCAATTACGATTGTTATTATACTAATGTATATATATTGGTTATTATATCAATGTATGATTTTCTAATATAATGTTTTCAAAGCATTAAAATATTTGAAAAATATAAATCAAAATTAATTGTGTATAATTATCATATTAATGATACTTATATTAAATTGACATGTCTTTTCACAATATAACAGATTTCCTTGAACTCATACATATTATATTAATATCAGTTTATGACTTTTTGACCCTAGATAGACATTGACCTACAGATATGTAACAAGATTCTTCATTTTCTTAGAAACAAGTATAATAATTATCATTCGGTAATAATTATAGTTTTTATACTAAATATCCCTGTTTCAAATAGCATGTAAAAAATTAATTTTTATGGAAAAATTTTATATTTCCAAATTAGTGAAAATATGAATAATTTTTCTATTCATACAAAAATAACATTAATTTCGATTTTGAAATGATGTGTTATTTTATGTAACTATTTGTAATATCATAATACATAATATAATTTTACAAGATGTATATATTTACAAATATATATTTATAAATGTAAATAATCAAGTAATAATTGATTTCAGAAACTTAATACCACTATACGATTTTTCAATAGATCAGATTATTACACACTGCATGGTAATGATGCTTTATTTGCTGCACAAGAAGTTTTTAAAACTACATCTGTTTGTAAGATGATTGGAGCAGGTAAAACTTTAAATTTATCTTAAAAATATTAATTCAACTCCAAAGCTTGAAAATTATTAATATAACATTAATTAACATATACTAAATTTTATATTTATTGCAGATCCATATAAAACTGAAGGTGTTATTCTTAATAAAAATCATTTTGAGTCTTTTATACGTGACCTATTGTTAGTAAAGCAATATAGAATAGAAGTGTATGTTAATCAAGGATCAGCAAAAAATCAAAATTGGGTATTGGAATATAAGGCTTCTCCGGGTAATCTAACACAATTTGAAGATATACTATTTGGTAATAATGATGTTGCTGTTAGTGTACGTGTTATAGCAGTAAAATTAGGAATGGAGGGAAAATCTAGAGTGAGTCATTATGATTGACCTTGTGATGAATTTTCTGCTAAAAAGATTTTTGTAATTTTATTTTATTTTATATTTTAGATTATTGGTTTAAGTTGTGTAGATACTACAGCAACTTTATTTTCTGTTTGTGAATTTCAAGATAATGAATCCTTTTCTAATTTGGAATCACTGATTGTTACACTTGCTCCTAAAGAATGTTTATTAATTCAAGGGGAAGGAAGTTATGAATTTCAAACTTTAAAACAAGTAAACAGACAAAATGCCTCTTGTATAGGAAATAATTAGACTAAAAGCATAATAATATAAATGTTACGTTTATTTGCTTTCTTTCTGTTTTATTTTTTAGCTAATGGAACGAAATAATGTAATGATAACTACAAGGAAAAAAAATGAATTCTCTAGTGAATCAGTTGTACAAGATTTAAATACTTTAATTAAATTTAAGAAAGGTCAACAGCAAAATGCACAATCTTTACCTGAAATCAATTTAAGCTTTGCTATGTCAGCTACTTCTGCTCTTATTAAATATTTAGATGTAAGTATTACATATTAATAGAAATAAAATACTTTAATTTAATTTTTTAATTTTTTATTAGTTAACATCAGATGAAGGAAATTTGAATCAATATAGTATAGATCAGATAAAGCAATCACGTTATCTAAAATTAGATTCAGCTGCTATAAAAGCTCTTAATATTGAACCACGTCTCGATACCTCTTCTATTTTAAATGGAAATGCATCTTCAAGTATTTTAACCCTTTTGGATAAATGTAGAACACCACAAGGACATAGACTTCTTGCACAATGGGTTAGACAACCTTTAAAAGATTTATCTCTTATAAAGGAAAGACATGATATTGTTGAAGCATTAGTAAATAGTAATGAAGTACGATCTAATCTTAGTGAAGACCATTTAAGACGCATACCGGATTTGCAAGTACTTGCAAAAAAATTAGCCAGAAAGAAAGCAACTTTACAAGACTGCTTTAAGTAATTAAACTATATGATTTTTACACAATATATTATTCACTGTATGTATTTATTAATTATTTTTGTTTCAGGATTTATATATGTATATCACATTTACCTACACTATTGGAACAGTTTTCAAATGTAAATGTAGTAGCTATAAAAACAATGTTCACTGATCCTTTAAGTGACCTTATCAAAGACATGGATAAATATCAACAAATGGTTGAACAAACAATTGATTTAGATTCTGCTGGAAAAGGAGATTTCTTAGTACGAGCTGAATTTGATGATGGATTGAAAGGTATTTGTTCAATTCATTATTTAAATATTTTATGTATATAAATTTAATCTTGTTAATTTATTCATGTTAATGATAGAATTGAAAAATACTATGGATGAAATGGAAAGAAAATTACAAGCACAATTGGGTAAAGTTGCTGATGATCTTTCAATTGAAGCTGGTAAAATATTAAAATTAGAATCAAATCAACAATTTGGATACTATTTTCGCGTGACATTAAAAGAAGAAAAAGTACTGAGAAATAAAAAACAATATATTATTTTGGATTCTAATAAAAGCGGTGTACGATTCCGCAGCAACAAATTAAATGATTTGAATGATGAATATATTTCTGCCAGAGATAAATATACAATAGAACAAAAAAAGGTCGTTGCAGAAATAATTGAAATTGCAGGTGTGTAAAAATTGAAGTAAAACATAAGCAATAAAACAAATACATAATGTTTATATCATTATATTATAATAATTATACAGCTGGTTATAGTAGTACAGTAAAAGCAATTGGAAATATATTGGCATCTCTTGATGTACTTACTTCCTTTGCTTCTGCTGCTATAAGTGCTAATAAACCATATGTTCGTCCTGAAATGTTACCTAGTGAAGTTGGTGAATTTAAACTTATTCAAGTTCGACATCCATGTTTAGAAATACAAGAAGGAATAGATTATATAGCTAATGACATCAACTTTAAAAGAGGTAATATTCTCATATCATTTTTCTAAATATAAAGTATAATAATTATTAAAATTATAGGTGAATGTCATTTTTGTATTATAACTGGTCCAAATATGGGAGGCAAGAGCACTTATATAAGATCTGCTGGTGTCACTGCTTTAATGGCACATATTGGAAGTTTTGTTCCTTGTAATCAAGCAAAAATATCATTATTAGATTGTATATTAGCCCGTGTAGGAGCTGATGATTCTCAATTAAAAGGACTTTCTACATTTATGATAGAAATGATAGAAACTGCTGCTATATTAAAGGTAAACTGATAATATTTATAATGTAAAGTATTGAAATAAACATATGTACATTTCATGTAATTTTAATAGACAGCAACATGCAATTCTCTTGTATTAATTGATGAATTAGGCAGAGGAACCTCTACCTATGAAGGTTGCGGTATAGCATGGTCAATCGCCGAGTAAGATATGAGTTATTTCCAAAATTTAGCGAGTTTATAATTTATAATAATATAATTTTTTGTAGATATTTAGCCAGGGAAATTAAATGCTACTGTCTCTTTGCAACACATTTTCATGAAATAACTAAATTAGAAGAAGAAATACCTACTGTTAGGAATCAACATGTTACAGCTCTTGTAGATGATAAGAAATTAACTATACTATATAAAGTAAAACCAGGTATATGTGATCAAAGTTTTGGCATACATGTTGCTAAAATGGCTAATTTTCCACAAGATATTATAGAGGTAAAATTTTTTTTAGTTTATATAAGAGAACTTAAATTTTGTCATGCTCATACCAGAAATGTTATTTTTAGTTTGCAAAGCATAAACAAGCAGAACTTGAAGATTATCAAGACTCTGTTTTTGAAGGATCTGATAATCCACAGAAAAAAAATAAAATTATCAAGGTAATAGCATTTTTGTTAAACTCATAGAAAAGGAAAATATAAATTGTTAAATATTAATAATATAATATAGTCATTGATGATGTTACAGGAAGCTGAAGTTCTTATTGCAGAATTTATTGATAAATGCAAGAATCTAGACAAATCATTATCCAATACAGAATTAGAAGATAAAATTTCAACATTTAAAAAAGAAATTTTATCTCGTGAAAATCCTTATATAAAAACACTTATGGCGGCTTCATAACTTAAAATAGGAAAACAATACCTAATAAGAGTAATAGCTATTATTAATTATATTAGTATTATAAAATTAATTTATTAAAGGTATCAAAGTGGAACAGTATTTTATAAATTTTGTTTTTAATCATTATTTTTTATACAAATATATAATAAAACTTTTTTTAACTAACATTTTCCCAATTAATATATTTATCTAATTCAGATATTTGACAAATAATTTCTAAAATATTATACATTGTATAAGAATATTAAAAATGAAGAACCTTATATATAATAATGAAAATAAATTTAAACCTTTATACCTTACATGTAATTATAGTTTTTATTTCATTGTAATATCTTGGACTAAAAGATAATATTGAATATAACACGAAAGTAATAGAAAAGTTGACAAGGCTCCAAACATATGATTCAAAATTGATAGAATATTAAATTTATTTTATATTTCGTATATAATATTTTTACTACATAATATTTGTTATTGGTTTTATCGTTAAACTTCTTACCGAAGTATCACCTGTCGATAACATATTAGTTTACTATTTTCATCATTGTAACCTTGAACTTGACTAACGTATTCTGTCTTTCTGGGGAGTGTCTGTAATCGTATATCAGCAACTGTTAATTGTATTTTTTCTATCATTTTTATTAACAATTATGGATCCTTCGATTTTTCCTGAAGAAATTTGGATAAAAATTTTATTGTATTGTGATGTACCTGATATTATTGCATTCGGTAGTACGTGCAAATATTTAAGAAAAACTTCAAATACTGATTACTTGTGGTAAGTTTGAGACAAAATTTATATAAAAAATACAAAGTTCAATAATACATTTGGAAAATAAATAAAAATTTATTTTTTATACAATGCAAAAATATAAATATAATATAAATAAAATATAAATTGGATTGCAGTTTTGAAAATTTAATAATAAATTTTGTATTTTGTATTATAAAACAAATTGTTATTAATTAATTTCTTTTAAATATATATAACTTTAAAAGTAAATAATTTAAAAAAAAAGATTATTACTATCAATTCTTTATAAACTGCATTTATATGTTTGCAGGAAAATGAAGTGGTTACAATTGATATCAAAAGTACACTTTAGATTTTTAGATATGAAATGTCTGCAGTTACTTAGTGTCAGCTTTAAAGCAATGTGTTATAGATTATATATGGTAATTACATTAGGTGAAAATGTTCATTTCCCAAAATGTCGTCATTGCAGTGGTTATACATGTCAAAGAAGTTGTGTTGAAGGTTCTAGTGCAAAAGTAGTAATTGAAATTGGAAATAAATATACATGGGTTATTACACCACATTTTGAATTGAGAAGACATTTTTCAATGTTTGGTGTACCTAAATATAATAATGAAACATATTTGGAACAAACACAAAATGTTCCAAGCAGTAGTACACGTCCAAAAAGTGATGGTAAATCACTAGTTAAGAAGTTGAAATTATCTGAATTAGCAACTGCTAAAATTCCTAGACCTAGTGGTCCATTTTGTGTTTTTTGTAACTCTGTGAAATTATATAGAGAAAAAAAGAGATTAATTACTCATCAAAATGATCCAACATATTATGCAAGACCAAATCCAATTTATGAAAAACTTATAAATGGATATTGCACTGATACTGTTGAAGTACTTGGAATTCCAAATGTTGATCTTGTTAGTCCAGCAGAAGCATTGTTAAGTGAAGGAACATTTCCTGTTCTTAAAACATTTGTTGATCATTTATTTCATCAAATGGGATTAACTTCAACATTAAGAAAACCCAATGCAGTACTCATGTTTAGTGAACCATTAGCTATGCATCCAATACTCAGAAAACAATTATTGCATTACTTGTTTCAAGAAGTTAAAGTATCAAGGTGATATAAAAATAGTTGTCATTAAAAAGTTTCTTAAAAGGAGTTTTTAATTTTTAAAAAATAATTCAATTTCCAGGGTATGTCTGGTTCCTAAACCTTTAGCAGCATGTGCGATGCTAGATGTGGAAACTTGTGTAGTAGTTGATAGTGGTGCTTTAAGTACAACGGTAGCTGTTGTAATTGGTGGACGTGTTATACCACAACGTTGGAGATTATTGCCTATTGGTGGTTGGCATGTAGCTTATCATTTAAAACAAGCTATGAAGTGGTATCTAAATGAATGTTATCAAATTCCTATATCATATCTGGACACATTAACAATTAAAGAAAAATGTAGACTAAGTTATAATATTAAAAATGAAGAAAGAAGGGTTGGACAAAAAACTGGAGAATGTATTCAAATTAGAGTTCGAAGTAAAAAAGTTACTGATAATAAACAATTTTTGGTTATTATATTTTTTATATATATTTAAACAATCAAAATATCTTTATAAAATTTAACATTACAGTAAAATTAATTTATATTTCTTAGAGAGTTTATGCTGGTCCAGAGTTATATGTTGCTCCTGAAATGATGTATATCAACCTTGATTTACCCCAAGTGATAAAAGATGTAACATCTGGTTTATCAGAAGAAATACTGCATGATTGCCTTTCACACATATTACTTACTGGAGGCAACACACATCTTTCAGGTTTTGAATTAAGATTAATTAGAGATTTACGAGAATTATTACCAGAGCACAGCAAAATCTTAGAAGTAATAAGTTGTCCTGGTACTCACAGTTGGAATGTTGCAATGGGTTCTACATATGTACCTTTAGCTGTACATCCTGGTAAATGCATAATAATGTTCATTACAAAAACAAATTTATAAAATAATACATGTATAACTAATTTATTATAATGATTTCTATAGACAAAACACCACCAGAATATATAGAGGGTAATCTATTTTGGTTATCAAGAGAAGAATATGTTTTATTTGGATGTGAATCATTGGAGCAGTAAAACTGTAATAGGTGATTTTTTACAATGCCAATACCTCACTTATTATATAAATGCAAAATTGCATATATAAAACTGTTGAGAAAGTAAAAGAAAAAGCATCATGAAGAAAATCTTTTCATGAATTGCTTTTAAATTAGATGCAAAATATAACCATAGATAATTGGAGGGACTTCCCAAGATAAGGTGCTTGGATAAAAATAAACATTGGTTGGTATCAAAGATTGTTTATAAAAATAATTTAGTACATAAGAAATTTTATGCATTCAATGATAAATTTGAAGAAATTTGTAATTGTGCCATTAAAATATATGCTATGTTGTAGATACTTCTGGGGCCCATTTTATCTTACAAGGAAGCAGAATATGTAAGCTCTCCCAATATGTATCCAATGAATACTTGGGTAGACATACATTTCCACACCTATATTGTTATATTTGTGCCTATTGTGCACTTTGTTTTTATTACATCATTATTAATTTAACAGTCGACTACAACTTTCTAAAACCATTAGATATTAATATATGTAATTACAAAATTTTCTAATTCCCTTCCATGTTTCCCTGATATCTTATAATGTCATTGGTAATTAAAACCTCAGCTGATCTCTTAATACTGCTAAGATTTCTTAATTCAAATAATAGTAACTTAGATACAATTATTTCTACATCATAAAATTTCTTAGTCAACACCTGGGTTCCCTACTCCTATTTAAGATCATCTAGATCCAATAATATGGATTCCGTCCATCCCAGGTTTGCAAATGTATAACTTTATATTATTGACTCTCTTTATAAACTTTATTCATATGATCAGCAAATGAGGTTGTATTGGCTTTCTTCCATAATCAATTCAAAGGAAATCATCCATAATTACAGAATATATTCTAACATGTACTCTATATTCTTCATCATGCATCCCATTTTTGCAAACCAAATATTGCAAATCAAAACTGAATCATTCCATGTTTATTATCATTTATAGTTCACACTCCTAAAATTGTAATTTTCTTCATTTTATAGAACAATTTTATATGTATAATTCAGACAGTAAGTTGTTTTGTAAATACAAAATATTTATATATTCAATTACTTAATGTACAGATAAATAACTTTAGAAAGCATTATTTCAAAACAAATATTATAAATTCTGAATAGAATATTTCTAAAAGTATGTTCATGATTTCATAAATTTATACTACATTATTCTTGCCAAGTAAGAAACATATTAATAGTCAAGAAAGATAGCAATATTTCTAGTCACTTTAAATTTAATTAAACTATTTAGACTTCTTTCCCAAAATGATAAATAATATTAAAAGTAAGAATTTATAACAACTAGAACTAGGAATTTTTAAAATTTAATAACTCAAGATATAATATTATTGTTATTATAGTTTTCTTCAACTTCAAATTTAATTTCGTGACTAATTTAATATGCAATTATTACTTTTACTGTGTACATTGAACATTTTATTAGTTACTAAACTAAGTAAAAAATTACATAATATTTAAAAAGTTATTAAATTATAGCATTTAAAAAGTTCAAACCATTTTAATACTATTTTAGATACAGCTTTAATATTATAGTATCATAGTATTATAATATTTAAATTAATTAAAGAAATAACAAAGACACATACACCTGCGAGCGCGCATGTATGTTAAATACCATAATTAATTATGTTTTTGTTATTGGAAATCTATGCAAGTTATCATCTTATAGGATTTCAATTTGTAATATCATAATTATTGCTAAGTGCTTGTAAAATGTATAACATTTATATGATATATGTATATAACTTAATAACTTTAAACTATAAATAAATATAAATATTTATAATATAATTTTTTCAAATAATATATCTTTAAGATTCAATTTATATTTTGTATGTGTTTTAATGATTTATTTAATTCTTTTAATATTATTTTACCAAAGAAGTAAAAATAAAATAAAACAGTATATAACATATAAATGATACTATTATTAGTAAATTCAGTAGTAATATATTACTCGATAATAAAGCATTTTTAAAAAAAATGAAAAAAGGATCAATTTTAATTAATGCTTCTCATAAAGTATTAATGGATTCTAATAACGTTTATGGAACAGTTACGTTTACAAGCAGTTGGATTAAATGTTATAGAAAATAAAGAACAAATGATTTTTTTTAACTTTGAATGATTAAAAAATACTAGATGATACGGTGAATAAGTTCTTAGAATTATATTCATACCACGTATTGATTCAGATACTGGATGAAGAAGAATACAAATATAGAATATAAAGAAAGCATAATTATCCTCAATATCAAACACAAACTTTTTTTATAAATAAAGTTTATAATTATTATAATTAAAATATTTATATCAATAACGTATAATTAAAACTAATTATATATTAAACAAACGTCTGGTCGCTTTTTTAAACGTCCTGTAAAAAGCAGAAATAATTATGACTGTCGTTATCGTGAAAAAGATTAATATCATAATGATACTCAAGATTATTATTATGATGTTCGATATGAAAGAATAATAACTATGAATATGGAAAAATGATATATATCAAGTACGATTAATAATCAATCCGCAATAACTGGAGCTATTATGAAAGGTAAATTTTATTGTTATAAAGGTCATAAACATCGATGAAGTAATTTATAGAAGGGAAAGTGTTATTTCAATTAAAATTCCAAATATTTATAAAAGATTAATTTTTATTATCATGCCATTTGTATAAATATTGAAGATTTCATTATACACAAGATTAGTTTCATATTAGAATCGTCTCTTATTATATTCAGTAAAATTAGAAAGTTCTTGATTGACAGTAAAAGAAAAATTGTTTCCTTTTTTGTATAATTTTGTCTTTTACACTACTAAGAATGTAATGTAATTCTGTTACATTTGTATTTTTACATTTTAAAATTAGGAAAAACTTTTGAAAAATATGCAGGAAAAAATGGACAAAAATTATTAATTCAGGTAAAGACATTAATTTAGTTATTTCATTTTGCTGTTTTCGGTTGAAGATTAATATGGTACAATCACATTCGTCTTCACACTGATTTAAAAAATATAGTTTAATAGCTGACTAATTTTTCAAAAGTTTATTTGTCACTTTATGAAGATTGACTTCTTGTAAAAACTCATTTTAATATGTCAATGAGATTATACCGGGAAATCGAAACAATCTCTTAATTCCTTAGTCTAACAAATGCTTAAAGAAAATTCACTGTAGATTTTAAAAACTGAAGTTTCAACATCTAACTTCAAAGTTATACTGCAAAGTTCGCTATATTATGTAAAATGTTAGCCTGTATTAAATTATTAGTAATTGTTTTTAATTTTGTAAAAACTGATACATTGTAGTTAAAATTAACCGACGACTTATCAAATCTGTATGTTGTAAAATAATTTACATATATCAAGTCCTACATTTTCAACTAAAAATTTTATAACATTGAATATTTCTTGTTAAGTTTCTGTCCAGGTTTACATAAAGACAATTGATTTTCTTTGATATTAAAATATTGCCTTCAATTAAAGGATTGCAATTGCAAATAATGTTAAGAGATAATTAAAATAATTATGTACGAAAAATATTAATATTTTTATATTAATATAATAGTGCATTGTTTTAATTGCATTACTTTTATAATCAATTTATTCTAAAAAAACATAATATTAATTCATTAAAGTAAATAAAAATTATCTATTTTACTTAATGCATATATTACATTATCAAGAAATAATATATAATTCTGTAATATGTTTATTTTCCAACATGATTATATATAAATGTCTAGTGCACAAAAGGGTATATATTCCTAAATTTGTTAAATGATACATAAAATAATACATTTTATAAGAAAACAATTCTTACAAAATATGAATCCCAAAGTATATATGTTATGTATGTCTGTTTCCATTTTTTATGTATTGTGTATTACAGTTTTATATATAGATATATATTTTAAACAATATAACACAGATTTGTCAAAATTCGTATCTTCAATGTAATATTAATAATTTCTATTTACAAAAAAGATATTTTAAGACAGAAAGGAACAAATTTTTTTTTCATAGATTCACAAATCATTTTGTCAATTTACTTGTTACAACATTGTACATATATCCTATTACTACATTGACAAAAAGATAAATGTTATATATACAAATTTAGTAATCAGTTATATATTATTAATTCGTATTTTTTTTAATATTTACTAATTTTCGCTTTATGCCACAGTTAAATAAATTCTATTCATGCTACACTTATAGTATCTATACAAATGCAGATTTTACTGCATCTTATCATTTGACAAGTATTCTATATTAAATAAGTATTATATACATAATATTTATTATATACATAATACTTATTGTACAGAAATAAATACCTCTCTACTTAACTAGACTTGCAGTAAAAATGCAAATCATATAAATAACATTTACTTAAATGTTTTTTAATTAATTTATTTTTGTCTTAAAAATATGCAAATATTTATGTTCTTAACTTATATTTTGAAAGTCAGAAATTCATTTTTTTTTCTTTTCTTTTTAAAAGAGAGATTGATATGAAAAAGTGTAAATGTACCATCCAATAAAAAATGGTTATATTAAAAATATTATACTAGATTGTATAAAATTTTCTTGTATTACATTCAAACTGACATGTTTATATCTTATTATAAAAATGTAATAAAATAATTGTCCATTAGATTATAATAACTTATACAAATTAAGGTGCACTGTCAATTATTTTATATACTTTCACATAATCATATAATGTAGTATATACAGAATATACCATATATTGTGATGTTTTAAAATTAGAGTACATACATCATAGTTTGTTTTTCATTATTTTATAAATTAAAGTACTGTAATGTATTTTTCTGTTTGGCTTTAACTAAATTTAAACAATAGTGAGTGTATGTGTGTATGTGTGTGTGTGTTAGTTTGGCTCTTTTTGTATAAATGATGTTATCACAAACTGTGGCATTAAAAACACAAAACAATTAATAAAGTTTAAGAAATAATAGATTAATATAATTGGCATAAGCACTTTTATGGAGAACTTCTGTACGTAAAATTTACAGTCTGTAAACATTTGTTCTATTATTTTGAAAAGTTTCCTCTGTATAATGTTAAATATTTTGCATTATATTTCTGGACATGAATTTTATAATAAATTTTTATTACAATATTTGAAACATGATTTTGACAAAGAAGCACAGCCGTTATTTTCTTCATACAACGGAATAATTAATTTATATGACAAAATACATAAAAAACACTATAGCTAAATTTATATTATGAACATGAATTTACTTCATACTTACGTATTTTGTCTCTAAAATGAGATGAAGAAATAGTTCTAGATCAATGTCTATGTGCTTCAATGATATATAATCCTTTGTTTATACAAGCTATGTACAAAACTGTCTAATAAAAATTAAACACCTTATAAATTTATTATGAATTTTTTTTCTAAAGTAAGAATGCAGTGAAATGTAATTGTTAAAATAGATATCTCATTCTTTTCTAACCAATAAAATTAATATAAAAATTTAAATGTACTTAATGTATACAAATCAAGATACATCAAACAAATTTTTTAAATAAATTTCACAGTATCACTGCATTCTAAACATTGTTAATCTTTATAACAAATTAAATTTTAACTTAACAACAAGAAGTTTTTGCAGGTTCTGCTTCAACTAAATTAAAATCTATACCACCAGGTCTAACAAATCCAGTTTTTATTCCATCCCAACCATCTTCAACTTTGTATTCACCAATTTGTATTCTATTATAAACTTCTTGTGTAACTGTTCGAAATGCTTCTTCAACATTAACTCCAGTCTTTGCACTGGTTTCAATATGATTTATTTCATGCAAATTAGCAAAAGCTCTGGCTTCTTCTTTTGAAACTTCTCGTCTACTCCCATTGGTAACCAAATCTAATTTACAACCTACCAATGCAAACACAGGACGATGTGGTTCAATATGCCTACGAGCTTCCATCATCCACTGAGGAATATGTTCAAAACTTGCTCTATTACAGACATCATATACAAGTAAAGCTCCAACAGAATTTCTATAATATGATTTTGTAATTGACCTAAAGTGAACAATATATTTTATTATTCATATTTATATTAATAGCATATTATATTCACTTTTCAATATAATAATATTTATTAAAAGTGTACAACAAAAATATGATTAGTAACAGACCTAAATCTTTCTTGGCCAGCTGTATCCCATAATTGTAATTTTATTCTTGTTCCATCCTGTACTTCAATTAATCTAGCAAAAAAATCAACCCCAACTGTTGGATCTGAAAGCTGAACAAACAAAATGTATTATATACTTTCTGTAAATATTAAATATAAATAAACCATTTTAAAATATAAAAAAAAATTACAATTTTTGATTTATTAATATATGTACCGTACATAAAACTTAGTATAAAACTCAGTACAAAATAAATGATAAAAATGTATTATATATTTATAATCTAATAATATTTTTTTATTCATTAATATTTGTTAACCTATTAATAATGTATGTAATAATTACAATTGGATGTCAAAACTAATTTATTTACACTATATATAATTTCGAAACAAAGGTCACAATTTTATATTGTTCTAAACTTTTTATTTAAAAAATATGAATTAGCTACACAAATATTATTAGAACAAATTGGAAATAGTCCAATAACACAAAAACTATAAATCATGTAAGATTTCAACATCGATTGCAATTCAATTTATTTGTATCATAAAATATAACAAAAAGACGAAACATGACAGATTTATAATCTTTTAAAATCACTTTTTATCGACATTGTTGACAATACGATTAGAGTCGCTGCATACCTCTGCAAACTTCCCATCGGTAAAATATTTCAACAATGAACTTTTTCCGACTGTACTGTCACCAATGAGTATCAGACGAAACTGATAGTCAAAAATTGGTTCCACCATCTTGACGTATATCACGATTAATGTTCTTCTCAAATAATGTTCGTGCTGTCGCTTACAAAATCATGATTTTCTTGTATGCACTAGTCAAGAGTGAGGACCTCACTGACCGTGACATTAATCATCAACTTCCTACCTTTGCCCTGTACTGTACTTATTGCGCACGACACTGTGCTAATAAACATGTAGATCTCGCAAGAATGATTGAAATTGAATACATTATAATATTCAATAGATTAGTTATTTTCAACCATTCCTACTTTCATTACCTTTTTCTTCTATAATTTCTTTGAATGTTCACAAAACCATGAAGTTATAATATCCGTCCAAAATATACATTTCATGCATCAATCTGAAGAGTTTTAAAATATCATAATTTAATTTATATATGTTTAATTTATACTATACTTAATATAAAGTTACGTACAATCTGAATAAATACCAGAAGATAAAAAAACTAATTTTTCAACTGCTACTTCAGTGAAATGGTTAAAGGAATATCTCTAAAAGTAAATATTCGAAGACGTTTAAGAAGTATTTTTATTTTTGTGACACTATTTAAAATGATAAACAGCTCATTTTATCTATTAGATTAAAACGATTAAGCGTCAATTAAAAGATAAATTAATTAGTCATTGTTACATACGTACACTAATATATAAAATGAAGTGTCATTTACGTCTTAAAAGTAAACCAAGTGTAGTACATGTGTAATTAAATACATTGTTCGTATATAGATAGAAACACAATAACAATATACAAAGTTAATAATTGAATATTAAAAATTACAGAATAATTATTTTCACTTCACTCTTCAGATTTTATCTAACAAGTTATTTCTCATATACATTTTAGCCTTGAAATCTTTCAACCGTATATTTTCTAAATACATGTTAATATAACCTAACTAATTTATTTTAGTAAAGTAATTTTAACTCAACTATTCCTTTAAATCCTTATAATAGAATAACAACGCACTTTAAAAACTTCATTCTATTAAAATGAACGAAAAAAAATTGCTTGATGAAATTACTGCGTTGCGTGAATTGTTAGACATGAAGGAAGTTCAACTAGCTGCATTAAGGCGCGAAAAACAAATTTTGCAGGATTACGGCTTAAGTAACAAAGAAATATCAAGATATAGTAGACAAATCTTTTTGCCAGAGATTGGTATTAAAGGTGTATCTTATTTATAAAATATTAAAATATATTATCAAATTAAGGTTACATGAATTTTACAAAATTTTGTTTTTACAGAGCAGGTGGTCTTGGATGTCCAGCAGCTTTGTATTTAGCATCTGCTGGTGTTGGACATATTGGCATAATTGACTATGATGATGTTGAGATTAACAATCTTCATAGACAATTATTGTATGCAGAAACAAATATTGGTATACCAAAAGTAAATGCTGCTACAGAAAGTCTTACTCGGTATTTGTAAATAAATATAATATTTATAATATAATATGTATAATATGTATAAATGATATCATACTAATTTTAGCTTAAACAGTGATGTTAAAGTTACTCCATATAAAATTCAACTAGATAGTAGTAATGCTTTGGACATAATAAAGTGTTATGATATAGTGCTAGATGCTACTGACAATGTAGCTACACGTTATTTGTTGAATGATGCATGTGTTTTAAGTAACAAACCTTTAGTATCTGGATCAGCATTAAGATTTGAGGGTCATTTATCTGTATTTAATTATCATGGACCTTGCTACAGATGTATATTTCCTAAACCACCTCCTCCAGAAACAGTAACAAATTGTGGGGATGGTGGTATTATTGGTCCAGGTTTGCATGAATATTTATTTACTTTATTCTACATTTATTCCATATATTTTTACAGAAAAGTATTCATTATTTGATTTAATTGCAGCTGTTGGTACCATTGGTGTCTTACAAGCATTAGAAGCTTTAAAAATCGTACTCGATCTTCCACATGTTTTATCAGGTCAACTTCTATTATTTGATGGACTAGAAACCAAATTTCGCAATATCACTTTGCGTGCTAAAAATACAAACTGTGCCGTTTGCGGTGAACATCCAACTGTACAAAAATTAATCGATTATGAGCAATTTTGTGGTGCAAAAGCAAATGATAAAGATCCAAAATTAAATCTATTAAAAAAAGAAGAAAGAATAAGCGTAGAAGAATATAATAGGACATTAAAATTAAGCACAGAAACTCATATCTTAATCGATGTACGTTCTATCGAGGAATTTGAAATTTGTCATTTGAAAAATTCTATAAATATACCATTAAATGATATTAATAAGAATGAAAACATAACGTTAATAAAAAATAAAATACAAGAAATACAAAAAGAACATGAAACTAGTTGTATGTATCTTACTTAAGATTTTAAGCCATAATTTAAAATATATTAACTATAGATATTTTTGTTTTAGTATATGTCATGTGCAGAAGAGGGAATGATTCACAAAAAGCTGTAAAAAGTCTTCAGAAAACATTCAAAGGAAATAATTTAAAAATAAAAGATATAATTGGCGGCATTCATGCTTGGAGTAAGAAAATTGATTCTACATTTCCTATATATTAACTATATAGGATTGTAATAGCTTATTTTTTAAGTTTATTAATTTTTATTACAAAAATTAATCTTCTTATAATTAAACAATGTCCGAAATTACATTTTTATAAATAATGTATATATGAATAACATATTTATAAAAATACATCACTATATGTAAAATGAATTAATTCATTTATAATATTTTTCTATTTCACAACTAGTTAAACTTGTTTCTGGATGTTTATAATGAAAATCTGATGAATTTCTTAATTTTTCTGCTGCTTGTTCTGGTGTTAAGTCTCTTTGTGCTTGTGCAAGAAGTTCATAGCCAACCATATGTTTCTTTACAGTTGCTGAACGCAACAAAGGAGGTAAATAAATTCCATGAAAAGTCCAGTAAGGATAATCTTGTTTTACATATGGACCAGTTGGTGCACCTTTAAATGAAATAGTTTAAATATATTGGATAGTTCTAATTATCTAATCTAATCTAATAAATAGCGTCTAACAATCAGACATACCATGCCAGCCCATAGAATAGGGAAAAGAACAATGGAATAAGTTATCATATCTGGTACATAATCTTTTCATAATTACTGCTAGTGATTCTTGTTCACTTTCTGTTAAATCCTGCATCCTAGAAACTTGTTTCTTAGGTAATACCATAGTTTCATATGGCCATACTGCCCAAAATGGTACTAAAACTACCCAATCTCGATTTTCCAATACAATACGTTCCTGTGATATATTAAATTTAAATTAACTAAATTATTTAATTTAAATTTGAATAAAATATAAAATAAAAAATTTGATTTTTATAATAAAGTGTTCTACCTTTTTGAAAAGCTCTTTCTGCACGTAATCTATAAGAAGTGGTTTTTTATTACGATTATAATAATCACTGAGAAATCTATCTTTTATTTTAGCTTCATTTGGTAAGAACGAGCTAGCCCAAATTTGACAGTGAGGGTGTGTATTGCTACATCCCATTAAAGCACCACGATTTTCAAAAATTTGTACCCAAGTCCACTTTTCTCCCAATTCAAGCATTTCAAAAATCCAGCTAAATCATAATAATATTTATTACACTAAAAATTAGAACACCATATAATAAATGTATCACCAACGTACCGTTTTACCACTTGCTTAATTTCTGAAATTTTCATAAGTGCAATTGTTACATTTGATTTTGGATGAAAACACATCACTTTACATGTACCTTTAGCAGTATCCATCTGAAATAATTCATCTTCTGATTTTGATGGGCTAGGAACTGATTCCAATAATGCAGGAAAATCATTGACAAATGAATATGTATTTTCATATATTGGAGTTATCTAGAGCAGGTAGAAACATTTAACTTAAAAAAGAAATATTCATCATTAAAGAAATTTAACAAGCTTTAAGAACAGTTATTTGAGAGTATTACTTGACCACTAGCCCTTATGTTGCCTGGACAAAGTGGATTATCAGGATCATAGTCTGGGAGATCTTCTTCTATATTTGATTCGGTCTGCCCTCCCCATGGTCGTTTCATGCGATGTGGTGATACTAGTACCCATTCTCCCTTCAAGGGATTATATCGGATATGTTGATGTTCTATAAAATATTGATCTAATAGATGAAACATAGAACTTGAATTTGAAATAAATTCTTCATAAGAATAAAAATTCTAACCAATGGGATCAAATTCTTCTTTTATTGCTTTTGAGCCATTTTTCAGATTGCTTTTATCACCTAAAAATTAGCATTGTTAGTCTGTTTTTATCAACAAGTACTTATGCATACAAAAATTTGAAAAAATTATGTAAATATTAGTGTACTAAACTACCTTCTAATAAAACTAATTTATTAGATAAAATTATAATTAAAATTAAAAATATTATTTTGTGATAAAATATATTATTAAAAATGAGAATTCAATCAGTCAAAATATCATATGGCAATTTTTCTTTTATTTTATTATTATTATTACTTATAATTTGTTAATGTTACAAATTATATAAATTTTAATCCTTGTGTGACTTATGGTTCACTTGTAGCAGTAAATAATACATAATAGCGTTACGCGGATTTCATTTCAATTTCGATCATATAGAATGTACACTAAATTGTAAAAATTGTTATTAGTATAACATACTTTTACGAAATGTGAAGTATAAAAAATAAAAAGAAATTTGTACAAAGTCATATGACCTACGCTTATCTTCAAGAACGTATTATTTAGAAAATCTTACGTGATTAATAATATACAGTAGGGATTAATAATGTAAATGATAACAAAGTAATCATTTTTATCATTTACAAACATTTCTTTTATAAAATGTTTAATTTTAATCAAAGTATATTTACCTGTTAATGCAGACATTTGTACTTTGGTGAAATTACATAAATGTTTTATTATGGTATTGGAAAATTTCTAATATTAACAATAATTTAAAAAGTACATGTCATTTTTTTCACGAACAACATACTCGCGTACTTAGTAAAATAATTTAAGAGATAACAGTTACATTGCTTACAAAATCCAATGTTCAATATGTATACTTATCAATATATATCACATAATACATACTACGCATGTAACATCAAGCAAATTCGATTTTAAGCTTCAATATTAGAAAATATTATTTATAGTAAAGCGCATAAACAAATCTATATACATTGTTAATTACAGAAAATGCATTTCCAATTACTTTCGTCTTTAACATAGAGACGTTAATATGTTTTCTAGATAATTATGCTAACAACCTACTTACAAGTACTTCTAAAACTAAATAAAGGGAATTATAATAGACTTCATTATGTCTAAAAGTAAATATTACTTAAAATTATACCTAGTAATATTCGATAAGTATCGTTTTTAATTAGAATCTAATTGACATACATAAATGTTAATAATTTTGTATAAAAAATGTATGAAAATTGTAAGTCCAGAAACATTTACAGATCTGTAAAAATTTCCCTTAAAGACATTTATATATTTTATTTTAATTGTATTTTTTAAAGAAATATAAAAATAAAAATACGATAATTTGATAAAAATATATCGTTCAATGTAAACTTCCTTTATGTACATCTTGCATGATTTGACGTTTTGGAAAAGTGTCTGTAACTTTTAAACACGACCATTAACATTATTTGCGAATATGGCGCGAGGTAGTAGTGCTGGTTTTGATAGACATATTACAATTTTTTCACCAGAAGGACGGCTTTACCAAGTCGGTAAGATTAGTGAAAGTATTTTAAATTAAAATATAATTAACTATAAAATTTTTATTGATATTTTTCAAATTACTAATTTTTACATTATTATTGGTCTAAGCGGGAACCATGATATGCGTGATCTTCAATTTTGAACCTTTTTAAATGTATTTAATAAATGTTTTGCAGAATATGCATTTAAAGCGATAAATCAAAGTGGTTTGACTTCTGTTGCTGTAAAAGGCGTCGATACAGCCGTTTTTGCAACACAAAAGAAAGTGCCTGTAAGATAACCTATTAATGTTATTTCTAACAATTCTTTGTAATATTATCCTCTCTTTCCTGTTGTATCTAGTATAATATGTTAAAATAATATGTAGAGATTTTTGCAAATAATATAAGTAAAACTTACCAAGTACTCATTTTATAGGATAAGTTGCTTGATGCCTCTAGTGTTACTCATATTTTTCATCTCACTGAACACATTGGTTGCCTTGTGACAGGCATGTTAGGTAAGTAAAACATCAAAAAGCATTAAAAAAGAAAAATACAGTGAAGATTACTTCCAGTTATTAATATTAATAACAATAAATTAATAAGAACAAATATACAAAATATTTATTTTTCTTCTGCATTAAAATTAATATTATTGTGCATTTTAGCTGATAGTAGGTCTCAAGTTCAACGTGCAAGATATGAAGCAGCTCATTTTAAATATAAACATGATTATGAAATTCCTGTGGATACATTATGTAGACGTATTGCAGATATCAGTCAAGTATATACACAGAATGCAGAAATGCGTCCCCTTGGCTGTTCTATGATGCTTATTTCATATGATAAAGAAAAAGGCCCATGTGTCTATAAAGCTGATCCTGCAGGATATTATTGCGGTTATAGGGCCATTTCTGTTGGTGCTAAACATACTGAAGCTAATTCTTACCTTGAGAAGAAATTAAAAAAGAAACAAAATTATGATAATGATGAAACAATACAGTTAGCAATTACATGTTTGTCTACAGTTTTATCAGTAGATTTTAAACCAACAGAAATAGAGATTGGTATAGTATCAAAGGATAATCCTAAATTTCGGTAAATATATTTACAATTTCATTTTTATTTATATATAAAATTGTGTAATTTGTGTATAATTTATAGTGCCACAAATCAATCATGTATGTGTTTATGTTTCAGAATTTTAACGGAACAAGAAATTGATAAGCATCTTACTACAATTGCTGAGAAAGATTAATGATTTTATGTATATTCATTACCAATAAATATCATGTCTTGCTTAACACTGTTTCACTTTGATACTTAGACATAAGAAAAAGTATTTTATTAAGTTCAAATTATAGTTATTAACATGAATAAATTGTACACATTTATAGCTTAAGTTAAAAAATTTATTTGAACTCCATGTTTCTTAATTATAAGTTATAAAATAGTGAATTTATTCATAAAATTATTTTCCTGACGCTGTTGCTAATGGATTTCGTAGTACTAGAATAACAGAATCCCCTCTTAAAAACATTTTTGAAATAAATCTGTCCTTGTTTACTGGTTTTGCCTAGTTAAAAATAAAATTTTATTTATCCTTTTAATTATAAATTGTATTTAAACATGTTAAGTATTTTATATTACCTTTTTTTTTCCTTTCCCAGTACGTGGAAGTTCAGTCCACATTTCTTTTACATTTTCTAATACCATATTACAATGTCTATCAAATGCTTTTACTCTTCCTAATAATTTTTTGTTATTTCTACAATTAATTAAAACTTGGGTATTATTTTTCACAGACTGAGTCAATACTGAAAGTGGCCCAGTATTAAATTCTTCTTCTTCTCTTTTTGCTAGTTCTTCAGGAGTCATTTCAGATTTTGGTTTAGTCAAAGAAGACCTAAAAATAAAAGTTGTTTTATGAAAATAATGTTCATAATGATTTAAAAAAAAGATGTATAATCTTTCGATAAAGTTTAAAAGAGGTATTAAATAAATGAAATGATGAGGTTAGGTTTTGACATATAAATGTGCAAATTAAAATTTAAGCGATAAACAATATTAAATAAATCTTACATTTTGATGATTGTTTTTTATGAATGAATTTGATAATGAATTCTTTTCTCAAATGTAGAATTATTATGAAATGTAATAACTAAATTTTGAAATCGACAAACAAGACAATGTTTTAATGAATAACGCTGTCGTTTTAGTTTACCAATCACCTTTGAAATAGGTTATGTTTCTTATGTTAACTACCCGCATGTAGATATAATGTGTGTATTACTATATGCACATATGCGTCTATAAATTTATAAAATATGTACTTTATGATATATAAAAATAAGTGAAAAAATAAATTAAAAAGTATATATAATTCTTCATTTATTGTTTGATATTTTAAGCATTGTATTATCAATAAATTTTTAAATATATAATTTTTTAATAATGTGTTGTCACAGTATTTGGAAGGTTAGGTCTGTATATATACTTTATAAGCAGGTATATTTCTAAATTTAACTAAAAAAAAACCACAAAATGAAAACAACCCGTCAGAAAAAGGCGAGAAGAAATTTAAGCTTTTTTATTAACAATTTCAAATTTAGATCGCCATTTCAAGTTCTTATTGATGGGACATTTGCTTTGACTGCATTAGAGGTTTGCACATAAATATTTTATTTCGAAGTATTGCAATTAAAATTGACAACTTTATTTTTTCTTCATTATAAGAAAAATATAATTATTTATAGTATGAATAAAAATAATTAATTTATATGTATAGCAATTATCAATTTTTTTTAGAATAAATTTAATATACAAGACCAGTTATCAAAATATTTTCAGTCTGAAGTAAAATTATTAACTACACCATGTATCATTTTGGAAACAGAAAAACTAAGTTCATTTTCGAAAGCAGTTGCTGGTGCCATGCAAATAGTTAAACAATATCCTATACATAAATGTGGACACGAGAAACATTCAGTTAGTGGCACAAAATGTTTACAATCTATGGTTGCAAAAAATAATTTATTTAGGTATAATAAAAATAATAATGGATAAAAATCATAAGTTAATAACATTGTAGATATATGTATTTCTTATATGTTTTTCAGATATATTATAGCTACACAAGACAGAGAACTCCAAGATTACTTAAGAAAAAGTCCAGGTGTTCCAATAATGTACTTACATGGTAAAGCACCAACTTTGGAAGCACCTTCACAAGCTAGTCGTGAATATGCTGAAAATATTCGCAAAGGATTAGGAATGACTGAGTGGGAAAAAGAAAATATTAAAACATTAAAAGAAGTAGCTGGAATAATTGATGGAACAGAAGTAAAAGTAAAAAAGAAGAAGAAAAAGGGTGGTCCAAATCCACTTAGTTGTTTGAAGAAAAAGAATAAACCACAAACAGAAATTTTAAAAAATATTAAGGAAAAAAGATATAACAGAGTTAAGAAGAGAAAGAAAATGAAAATAGCAACACATATTAAAGAAGCATTGGTTGCAGAATTAAAAAATAAACAGATAGAAAAAAGAAAATAAATTGAAAAAAAATATATCTTTAAAAATACTTGTATGTGGACAAACTGATAAGGTTTATGTAAATTCATTTTTATTTATGATATAAGTATTTCTCTTTTTTAATTTACAAAATTGAAGTAATCATTTCTATTGTAACATACTTGTACAACATCAGTACATTCATAAATATAAGAATATTAATTTTACTGAGGACGTTGTTGGTAAATAAATGGATAAAGTATTCTACAGTTATGTTATTTATGCTTGATAAAATATAACTGAAAATCAGAATTAAAGATTTCCATATTGATATATGTCATAAAACTGTTTTTACAATTTTTATCAAATATTGAGTAATAAAAAATCTTTGACTATCCAATTTTATTAATGAATATATATAATTATTCACCGTATTTTGAAATATTTTACTCTTTGTATACCTTTATACTATGTAAGTAGTAATAATAATTACATTTAACAAGGGTAAGAAAAATAAGTAAATAAAATTACCTATTAAGCAAGATGTACAATACTTAGTAGATATGTGTGTTACATTTTTGTTTTAGTATTTAGCCGTATAACGAGCGCAACTTAAATTTTGAACTAGGAATTTTTACACGTAGGAAGCATATGATAATATAGAAGAAATATAAGTGTATATAAATTATACATTATTTATATATATATATATTTCTTTAGAAATTATATAGGTTGGAAATATCGAAAATATACACGTGTCATTATGACATAAAATAATATATAAATAAAAGACGAATCTCGATTATATGTATCACGTTATACAAATTATTCATATAACAAGGTACATTAAATTTATGTCGCAACCTAGTGCATACATTCTAAAATTTGTGATACAATTTATTAATTTTAAAATGTTTATTCTTTCATATTAAGAAACATACAATATTTTGGATAATTACATTAAAGTTACCAGTGTATTGGATAAGAGGAAATATGAATAAGATAAAGGTAAAATAAAATGATATGAAATAGAAATAGATCAAAATATACGTAATTTTTAAACGAAAAATTAATAAAGGAGACTTTCTTTTGTTAAAAAGACTTATTAAAGCTTATAACTTAAATTCTAATTAAAATTTAATTGTTACTCCATCTTCATGTATATGAAAAGTATAATGTTTATTATACAATATGTCATGAAATGCATTATCTATAGATTAATACAAAGTCAATGTTTAGGAGAATATATACAGTATATATTAATTATATTTAAGGATTCTATTTTAAAATTCGCTTTAAATAAAAGAACAATACATAGCTTAATTTTACAGAAAAATGCTATCAAAAAGTGTAATTGCTAAAATAATTAAAAATAAATTTTTTCTATGTGTCATAAAAGTTACTGTAGAATTTTTTAATTAAACATGAAGATAATGTGAATATTACTCTCAGATTAAAGTATTATTTAAACAAAATATACAACCTGATATCAATAGATTTTTTTCTATTCCATATGTATGTAACATCAAGATTGCTGATTTAAAAGTGCACGTGTTGCCATAGCTAACATTTTCAAACGTCGAATAGAACTATGATTTGGATTAGCTGTTATAAAAGCAACTATCTGGTTTTGTAAAGTCATTAACACAGTACCCATATGACCTTGTGTCACTGGATCATTAGGATCTAAATTTAATATTGCCTCTTCAAGCCACCTAATAAATAATTTTAAAGAATAAGAAATTTTTATGTAGATATAGAATGAAATACATTAATAAAAAATGTCTGTTACCTATATTTAAGTTCTGTACGGTGTCCTAAATCTGCAGATAACTGCTGTACAAGTGAAAGAATTACAGGTTGTTGTAAAATACATCTTGTACTTTGACCTTGAGGTCCTATAGAAGAAAATACTCTGGCAGGTTCTGTCTTCTCACAAACTAGTACTACCAAACCTAAATCACTGGCACTTAGAGCTTGTTGAAAGGCAGCATTTAACTGTCCCCTTTGGAGAAGAGACATAACTCGCGCTTGAGCGTCAGCAACTGCAGGTACAGGTATAGCGGGAGTAGTAGCTCGTGTACTGTAATAATATATTCACAAATTAATTTCACTGTTTGATAAAAATTTATATTTATATTTACTTACCATGCGTTTGTAATCTCAGTAAGTTGCTGATTTAAATTATCTTTAATAGAATCACGAATTGTACGTATTGTTCCTTCTTGTAGAATTATTAAAACTCTATTCAATTCTGTTTGTAATTCTTCACGAACTAATGATGATAGTGCTTCATTTTGTTGTTCGTTTCGTTGTTGATACTGTTTATCTATAATTGTATCTACGTTTTGGAGATCTAAAAAATAAAAGAAATGTTTTATATAATAATAGGTATAATATTGTTTTATATAGACTACGTCGAATATCTTACATTCATGAGTACCCCTAACAAAAGCATCTTGTACTTGTCTAAACATGGTTTGACATGCTTTCTCCATGCCAGGTAAAAGAACATTTGTAAATGCTTCCTTAAATGCTGCATCCAATACTGGTTTTGCCGTATTTACTGCTGCCATAGCAAGTGTATCTTTTACATGACTGCTATTAATTACTTGTGTCAAATTTTCTTTTAAGACTTCATCCATCCGTGAAGAATCTAATCTAAGTTGATGCTTTAATGGTTCTACAGTGTCTTCAATAATTCGTGGCAAAGTAGTTTCAATTTTATCTTTGATTGTAGTATCAAGCGTTTTAAGAAATTCATGTTGGCAAGCCATTTGTTGCTGTGAAGCTCTTGCTAGAGCAGATTCTACTCGCGTCGAAATTGGTGTTTCTTGCCTCAATCTGGTTACTTCAGTACGTAATTCTCTTAACTCTTGCCGTTGATCTTGAATTATTTCTAAAATTGACTCCACTTTATTTATTAGTTCAAGAGCATTTCCTACACTATGTATCGTCGATTTCGATTCATCTTTTAATTTTTTTCTTTTTTCTTCTTCATTTGTGAATCCATCAACTTCCTGCATTGCATGTCTGCTCACATCTTTTAATAATACCATCGGAATATTAGGCCAATTTTCATTAGCAGTATTGGTAGTTTCTGGTTTATTATCGTTTTCTGGTTCTTCATTTGCTTTTATAAGAGAAAAGATTTCTCTTACTTCTCTGGATGGACTACTACCGCTACTAGCAGGTGCTTGTTCTACTAACTCGCTTGTTGCTAATGGTGGATCTGTTGCATTTAAAGCCTGGACTGCTTGTGCAAGTGAGGGACTAACAGATAACACTGTACCCAATTTTGGACTACTAGGACAAGAAACCAATTCATTATTTTCTTTTTTGGCAGGCGAACTAAACGCATCAGGTGTCATTAGATTTAAACCAGCGTTATGATTCGTTGTTGCTTCAATCGTAGCAGATAAGGAACGATTTTCTTCACAGTTCTCTCCTGAAATTCCATTGGGATTAACAATTTCCATATCTTGTAAGTCCTCGGAATAGTTCAATGAATCATGAGTCAGTGTGTCCATGAGGGAGTTAGCACTCACTTTTGAAGCAGGCTTAAAAGCAATATGGCATTCTTGCAATGATTTAGGTTGAACTAGGTACATTCGAATAACAAGCAATTCTTCAGTATCTTCTTCACAAGGACATAAATTTTCTAGAGATTCATCAATAGGGCGTATTTTACGTAGACCAGCATCGACAATTCCAAAACTCAATATTGGATATGGAAGGAGGAACTCTGATATTGTAGTTATTGATGCTGTGTCTTCGTTAATGTTTTTTATAACACTTAATATATATAGAGCTTTATTATATATATCTGATAATAAAAGATAGCCAGCACTAAGATCTAAGCCTGCTTTCAAAACTGGTAGTTTACCAGTAGAAGGTGTTGGTGCGAATTTAATGGTTTGTAAACAGGACCATACTTCACAACACCAAACTTTCAATTCAGTATTATTGTCACATCCAGTAATGGCAAACCTCCAAAACTGAATGCTATAAAAAAAATATAATTATAATAACCATTTTAATTTAATAATAATATGAATTTAGAAATATTTAATTTTGAATCTTGCTTACTTTGGATGGTTAGTTGTATGATCATCTAAGAAGAATAAGCAAGAAATAGGTCGTCCAGAATGTGGTGTCCATTTATGTAAACATTGTGGTTCAGTACTACAAGACTTTTTATGTAAAAGAACTTGGAAGAATTTGATACTTCCATCAAAACTAGCTGTAGCTAAAGCTGTGCCATCTGGACTGAATATTGCTTCTACGATTGTGCCGGAATGCTGATCAATTTCCATCATACCTCCATGTTCCTTTAAAGCTGGATTAGTTGCCTATCATTTAGTCAAATAGTTGGATACTTTGTTCATTTTGTATGGATTTTATAATCTGTAAGTAAGATACACATTTACCTCTACTGATCTGAATTTTGATGTAACGGCATGAACTGACCACACCTCTACTTTGGAACCACGAGTTAGAACTAAAAACTTTGAAATTTTATCTTCATCTGATGGTTTGTCTAAATCTTCAGGAATATATGGACACCATATTACACGATGACTGGTAGCAGAAGTATCTTCTGCATCTACTTTCAGCAATAAATTACATAATAATTCAGATGGTGTTGATTCAATGGTATGTATAAAGAGGTTTCCAAAGTGGTCAACACATGCTAAAATTGCAGTTGAAACATATGCAAAAGCCAAATCTTGTATTGCAGTACGCATTCCTCTTAAGAGAGCTCTTTGTTCCAATTCTTTGTATACAACTCTAACCACACCTTCTCCACTACTAACTAAATAATGTTATTTTCTTAAATTTAAAAGGCAACAAAATAATTGTAATTTAACTTTAAATTTAAGTTACCTTTTAGACCATAAGCAAAATATTTTCCAGACATATGAACAGCTAATAATTGGCCTGGATAAAAGTTATGTTCCCATGTAAAATCAACAATATTTTTTAACTTCATCTTTGAACTACCATGTTTGTGTCCTCCTGGTGAAGGAACAACAGTAATATTGCTACTGTATAATTCAACTGAATGTTTATTTTCTTGCCCATTGAATTCTCTAAACATAAATATACAATTTTTATAAGGTACATATAGAAAATCAAAATAAAAAAATTTGGACTTTACAGTTTTGATTTTTGTTGTGTTTACATAGTGCAATACAAAGATGAATAAAAATTTTGAAGACCCCAACACCATAAATAAAAGGAACATAAAAGTGTACAAAAATTATCAACGAAAATTTTATCGTTTATAATTAAAGTGGAATCGAGTCTTTATAAATACTTACACTCTTTGACGATAGTGAACCTGTTTATCCTTTCCCCTTTTGATCATTTTGATAAAAATTATAGAGTATCTTAAAAGACGGCGAAGTTAATATAATTTTATCGATTAACGTGCCGAAATTCAGCCAATTCTAATCCCAGCCGGTGTGGCACGCCTGATAACGATATTTTGTCGGTCTTACCTTTCGTGCATATATTTGTTGGATTGTGAAAGCGATTTTTGATGATGCGTTATCTACTTTAATAAATCATATATAAATTACTGTTTCACCGGTATACGTGAATATTCTGTTTCATGGACATAGTTCAATGAAATTATTAAAAGCGAAATGTCAGGCAGCCATCAGAACTCGTCAGAAAAACAGATCGGAAGTGCAACGACGATATTTTATGTACTCCACGCTATGTGGCGCTCTACGCGATTATAAGTTTAAGTGTTTCAACTACAATATAGTTAATTATGTAGTTAATTATCTCAAATTGTATAGATAAAGTTTTAGTATTTTTTTTTTTATTGAGATAAATTTGTATCATTTACTATGATACTCTTTAAAAAAGTTATAATTTTAATAATAACAATTTCAATTTAAGATTATAGCTATGTGATATAAAATAATTATGTTTTGGTATTGTATGTTCGTTACAAAATTTAATAGTAATCAATGCTTTCTATTTTTTATTTAAATAGATACTCACTGGAAATTATATATCGTAATTTACAATTTATTTCGTATAATACACTATAATAGACAGGCTTTTCTTTTCATACATGACTATCTTTTGGAAAATGGCAGTAGTGCTCAAACGTACGTAGACCCAAAAAATATTGGCAGTAAATTTGTCTAATTTGAATATCTTTCAATCGCACTTAGTTGTTATACTTTTCAATGAAACATTTTTAATATTTTAACCCTTTGCGTGTATTTCGACATCCTCCAATAACTAAATCTTACACAATAAATGTATAACGAATATTTTTTTCGATTTTGAAAGCATGGTTTAAAAATCCGAAGTGAAAAACGAATTATGAAAAAAAATTATAGCTTTATTACTTATGAAAAGAAGAAAAAGAAAAAAAATAAAGAAAAATGTTTTATTGAAATTATAAGCGTATCATTTCTTATGCTAATTGAATGAATCAAATTTCTTACACGTAGCAAAAAAATATCCATGGGATTGAAGGTGATGGAAATGTAATTGATAATATGTAAGAGAATTTTTCATAGCTCATAAACGAGTTAATATTTCTATGTAATTTTTATTCCGTCACGTTCCAATCGTAGTGATTTAGACTAAAATATTTGAGGCACCGAGGTAACGTTTTCTCTAAATTTTCAATTCAAATTGTGTAATTTATTATTTTCCTGTGTTCTTAATTATCAACGAGAAATACATGTTCTTGCCTTTTTTCTTTGTTATAGGTACTTTTATTTCATCGCTGCAAGTAACAACGTTGCTCCTTTAACTTACTGGTTCCGCTGTAAGTCATAGAGAGCGTATAGTAAGAAAAAGAAAAAAATAATTGACATGCGCTATTGTCAATGTTACAATGTGTTAGTTTTATATATACAGGGTGTTCTTTGGGTATGTAATAATGTAGAGGGTTGTATTTGTTATAATATTTATACAATAGGAACACGTTAAATTAGAAAAAACTGATTTTAAAAAATTTAGAAATATCAAGTAAAAGTGTCGCGATAATGTCGAAGTTTATTGAATATATCAAGTTTTATTCATTAAAATTTTGGCGAGTTCCAGTTTGTTCTTTTTAAAATGCACTAATTTATGTTTAGGAATAGGTTACCCTCTATTTATATACTAATTATAAATCAGAATATTTTTTTGGAGGAAACCGATATATCGCATCAAGGGCTAAAAAATTCGTTTCCACTTTACGTAACCGTTTTATGGTTTTTCACGTTGTTGGACACGGGAATATATTTCTTTCCTTTTCTCGTTTTCTTTTTTTTTTACTTTTTTGATTTTTGGGTCTTTTTGTATACCATAACATTATACATGACAAGCACACTGAGACACTGCGCCAATCCAATAGAAAAACAATATCTGTAATTATTGTGCCAATAGTATTCACAGATTCGAGACGAAGAAGCACGACGATATTTACTTGTAACTCTCAGATAATCGGACCTCCTCGGATTGATAATTCTATCGTACCTCTATCGTCCGATTTTTTGCTAACAAATAACAACTTAACGATTAAGACCTTAATGGTTGTATCATTATATGTAAGCGTAATATTTCGATTCGTCTAACGAGAGCAACTATATATATTATAGTCGATCGTATAATCGCTATAGGAAGTATGCGTATATAACGATTGTAATGGGAAACGCTCATTATTTGCGTGACGAATAAATTGTATATCAATTCCTCTACGTAAAACGATCGAGAAATACATGCTTGAAAATATTGACTCGTAAACGCTTGCCTCTGGAACGTCTTTTCACGGAAATTTTGAATTCGTTCATCGTTAAACCGAGTAAAAAAAACGAAATAGAAAATTTAAAAACATGAAAGAAAAAAAACGAAAGAAAAAACCAACTTCTACTCATCACAAACAAAATCTAACGAATTCTAAAAGAACAAATAATATCGCTCACGTTGCTTGGATTGAAATATTATAGGAGGCTAACCGTTATCATTGCCATAAGATAAAGTTTAAGATCATTTTGTTACATGGGTTTTCGACGTTGTGATGGTCCCTGCGGGATGTTATTTGGTGTCGTACTTTTTCGTTACCTCTTTCATATAAAAGCATAATATACGCGTGAAACGTGATACGAAAGCGGAATAAGTACAGATTAGAAAAGTGTGAGTGGACTCGATGACAATGGCCTGTTGTTGCATGAAAAATTTATTACTTTTTATTTTCACAAATCGGTCGAAGCATGTTACTCAATATTGCTGCGACGATTTGTCTCTCTTAAAATTGACATTTTGGAATAATGTGGGGTGAATGTGAGTGAGGAGTGCTCAGAAATGAACATGTCAAAACGATAAATACATGAGTCAACTTATAAAAAAATGCAACCTATTGTTATTTATTTCTATTTATCGGACGGAAGATTAGAAAAATGCTTTTGAAAAATTATTAGAAAATGTCTGTAATTATTGGCATTCATTCAATTGATTGTTCTCAATATTATATATATAACAAATAAATAGTAAATCAATATGTCAGAGCACCCGTGAAAACGAGGTTATGAAAGTCGCAAAGGTATAGAAGCATTTGTACAGATAATGAGAAAGTTCGTGCCGATACAGTCGTAGAAGAATCCTACGAAAAATCCTATAAATTCCATACCACAATACTGATCATTATATCTAACACGTTGGCTGAATCGATTTTGATTAAACTTCGTAGTATGTTATATCTATATCTGTCTTCTACTTATTTAGCAATACAATATTTAGTATACGTGATTCACTTCTATGTTTTAATAATTCACCATACGTTTATACGCGTACGATTAAGAAAGCGTTTTGTTCATGTATCGATTAAGAGCGGCCAACGTGTAAAAGGCAATAATAAATTAAAGAAAAACTTAATAGATTAATTTTATAATAGTGTACAACTATTGCATCGCTTAACAAGCTACGCTGCATCAAATCGAAAATATGCGCATAATTGTCATAATTTTTGATTGCGCGATTCATACGAAGAGCAAACGCAGAACAATTGAATCTTACAACGCTATTTTACAGTCGCGCTCGGTTTACTGATATGCTTATGATATATTGCTTCGGCTTGAGAGCCATCAAATAAATAAATACTTCGGACGAATAAATAAATAAATAAATAAATAAATAAATAAAATCAATCAACTGTGATTTATGTCTAAGCAGTTACGACTAAGCTTCCGTACAAAAATCTTAATGTTAAGAGAGGAAAGTAGAAGATCTTTGATGGTTGGACGGAGTCGTGCAAAAAAGAGGTGTGATCGGAATTGTCTTATGCGCCATTCGATAACCTTTCTTCTTTTTTTTTATAAAAGTAAACCGTTGCAGGATTGGTCAAGGGTATACAGATAAAAAGACAACAAATAGAATATAAAATAATATACAACAGATGAACATTCAACGATATAAAACTAAATTTTATACTCTTTATGTGTTAGATAAACATATGTTATTTACCTAAGAGAAACGTTCTGCTTATCCTCAACCATCCTGTTTATAGCTTATTCCATGCATAAATGAAACTCTTACGATAATTCTACGTATTATACGAAGAAAAAGAATGATTAAAGAAGTCGTCATTAATATTATCTAGATAACATTACCTAAGAAATTATTTTCTCTTTTGCATGATACCGTACAATTCTTGATTACGATAGTACAGGCTTGTACTTGTATATTTAAAGCGGTAGACTCAAGTCATAGATTCGAGAAATAAAAAGGAAAACATATTCGACGCTTTTCAGCATAATATACAAAACGATCAAAATTTTATTCTGATATCGAGTTCTTCAAAGCACCGATGACCGACGAGTCTACCGCTGATCCTAATACTAAAACGAACGATGCTTTGTTATTATTCTCAAAAATACTGTACACAAGAATACCTAAGTTATGTCGAAGCTCATTCCACGTGCTCGGACGAACACTGAAGCTGTGTTAAGTACGACCGAACTGATACGTTCTTTTTTTCTTTTCGTTTAATTAAGACAAGATAAAACAGGCGAGATGATGTTGAGACTACGTTCTGATTGGAAACTGAGTTGTTTATTTCAATTTTTCAGTTCCGCCATTTGATAAAGTTGAAGTTCACCTCTTTAAGAAACGGAAGAAACCACGACCCTTCTCTGGTGGAGGTGCCATCAACATTGGTACTTGATTTTTATGCGTTATATGAATCTGTAACAATAAAATGTTTTTACATTTTTAGTATATACAACTATATATATATAATCATTATTAAACGTTTAAAAGATCAACCTACAGTGCATGGACCTTGCATCCATGGTTCACCATCGATTTGCATTGGAAAACGCTTGCTAGTGGTAATAGTGACGCTACTACACTGAGCCAATCTCCTACCGGAATGACGAAGTCCAGTTTTCACTTGACCCATGTGTAAACAGTTCTCTAAACCGATCACTTCTATGAGATTATCCCCAATATCTATAAATATATTTGTCGTTCTTCATTTGCTCTAGTTTGTCTTTTATTAAACAATTAATTAAATATTGTCTAATTACTTACCTTGTATTGCGGCTGTGAGATCTACGGAATTGAAACTGCTGGTGCTGAGTTCTTTGTCCGGTCGTTTCTTTCGTTTACCAAGACGATGTCTCGTATGGTGTTCACCCCAGAGGTTGGAACCTCCATGAGTAAAAGGAATGTTTAATAATGCGACACCTTGAAGGGAAGGTCCATGTGCTAAATCCAATGGAGTTCCATCACACTATAAATAAGAAATGTAATTAGTATTACTAGATAAACAAATATAAATAATTTGAAATGAGAAACATTTACGTACAATGATCTCGAGATCTTCGTGAAGATTTTTACAGCTGGCAGCAAATTGTTCTGTGGTCGCGTACTCAAAGTACCAAAGTTTGTTTTTCATTCTACTGTTGAATTTTTCAGGGTTCTTTTCCCTTTCCATGTGAAATTTCACACAGATCGCAGCGTCGACGCCCACCGAGAAGTAATTGTTAATAATATTGTACGGTATGCTATCTTGATTTGGTTTTTCCTCATCTTTCTGGTCAAGTACTTCTATTTGCCAGCGGTCCATCATTACAGACGTTGCTTTCTCTATTTTCTATAAATTATTTTGCAAGTAATAACATTAAATGCATCGATACTTCCTTCAATTAGCACTACAATGGTTTCCCAATACGAAATTTTACATACTTTGAGAACTTTGTGAATAGCTTCCCCTTCATAACCACCACCCCATCGCAAACATCTTGCAAGATCGTTGCCTGTACCTAATGGTATGACACCCACAGCGGGTTGATGGTCGAAGTGAACACGATCTGAAGTTCAGAGATAAAATACTGCTTACAAATGGATCTTCCAGAGACCATGTTATTAAATTATCAATCGTACCCATTGTCTCTAAGACCCAACCAACGGTACCATCACCGCCGCAGCAGATCACCTTAAAGTTTTCCACGTCCTTGAACATTTGCAAACCCTGCATAGGTCCGCCCACAGCCAGATTATGAACTTGGCGCGGGTTCAAGATGTATTGGAACTTCCTCAACATCCGTTCGCCTTGCCTCCCTCCGGATTTTGGATTTATGAACACTAGAAGCGGCATACTCCCCGGTGGCGGTGTGATTTGGAAGGACATAGCCGGTTGTTGATTAGTAGCGGTACCAGATGTTAGGAATCCACTCTGCTAATAGAATTTTACATCTCGAATTAGAACCTTCGATGCTATACCTGGCCGGTGTTTAATCATTCATCTTATTGCACTTACAGTGCTAGCAGTCGACGATTCCTGTCCATGTTTGCTTCCTCTTTTACTATCCCTGGACAATGACCTTTGTCTATCCAAGACAACCGGACAAATCGCTGTAGGTGGAAGGATATGAACTGCGTATTCACCGAGCGTACACTCTGCCCTTACTTGTGAGACGCATCTGTTATGCAGCTGTAAAATCATGACTGTTAGAATAACGTTACGATGATCTCAAAGTGAAAGAAAGATTACTTACTGTCAGTTGACACCATCTGCAGTGTAAGCCTGTGATCCCATTATAACTTTTGATTGTTTTCCTGCATTTGAAACATTTCCCGTGACAATTTCCTTCGACCCAATGGTGTGCCATCGTCTGCGACGTCTTCTTGCTTTTTACATAAGTAGCTATACAGGAGGCTGGCGCTCTTTGAACGCACCTTTCATGAACTGTGTACTTGCAGACTGCACAAAAGAGAATGGCTTGCTTGTTTCGTGTTTCAATGGAAATGAAAAAAATTTATTGATACTCAACGTGTTTAGTCTCAGTATCTTTTTTTCTCTCGATAAACGATAGAAACTATATATTTTATTAACTTGCTCTTCTTTTGTTGCAGGTTATCAAGGGGCAGAGGGGAAAGAGATGTAAGAAAAGAAGGTTCATCGGATGAAAATGTTTTGTAACAAAACACGCGCGTAAAAAGAAGGCTATGACATCAAAGAAATTCCTACGACGATACTTACAAACACAACAAAGACCCTTCTTGCCGAGACCGACCAACATATTCAAACAGAGATTGCAGTAAGCGGGCTTGCTAAAGTGTTTTAGCCTCCAGAGATGATTCCCGTCTTCCTTTACGTGAGAATCCAGGCCCAAAAGCACCAGTAGCGGGATCGTCGTAAGACCACCCCTTTTCCACTCCTCTAGAGATACCGTACCATCCGCGTCGTAGTCTATTTCTACCATCATGTCTTGCAGTATCTATAAATATCACGGATTTACACATCCAGATATCGTTCATCAATTTTCTATCTCTACGCTATATAAATAAAGAAACATCGGATTTTATGTATCTTCCTTATAAACATATTTTCCGTATACATGCCATATAGTATACTTATACTATTCTTTTATCGAAAATGTGCAAACTGATATATTCTTTCATAGCGAAAGTTCTTTTGCGGGTTACGTTGTTTTGAAAGGCTTTTTCCATATTAATATTAGGAAATAATACAAGCGTTTTATCACGCGAAGAGGGATTTACTTTCAGATATAGCGGAGATAGAAATAATTAAAATCGTGTGCGTATGTTTACTGCAACGTGTACGTAATAGGGAATATAAACGATATTTCAACAACTCACCGGTTTCAATTCCGTGACGTCCCACCCGAGATACTCGGCGACATTCATCATTTGATTGACAATGCAGTCCATCTCCTAGGGACACGCGATAATGATATTAAATCCGGGTCTACGACAGATAAGGCGCTCTTGAATCGATCTATTTCAATTCGTAGCTACGAACTTTGACGCCGTATTCGCAGACGTATCAATTAATCGGACGATTCAATTTTCTATACCCTCGTAACGCAAAACTCGTTGTCTTCCCGTTCAACGTGTAATAAACTGGGACTGGAAAATTGTTCAATTAGATGCATCAGTTATAAATTTCAAATCGACCAGTTAAATTACACAAAGCACGATTACACGAGAGTACCTCTAATTCGATTCGTTGTCACTTTCGTCCCGTTTGAAAAGGTTCGTCGAATTGATTTATTGAACATCTTATTCGTCGATCAAATTCGATCGCGCTTGGAAAGGAAAAAGAAAAGAAAAAAAAAAGAAAATAAGAAAATAAAAAGAACGAATACGGAAATGCGAAGTTGTGCTCGTGTTACTCACGTTGGTATCAAGAACACCGTTTCCATCTGTATCGTACAGCCGGAACATGACTAGAAAAGAGAAATAGAGAAAAGTAAATGAATTAATTGCGCGTCGAAATTGGTGCGCAACAAGTTGCAGTGGATATGCAAGCTCAAGTGCACACGCTGTGTGCGGGAGCAACTAGCAGAGTCGAGGACCGGTCTGAGAGAATGACACTGGGGCGTTGGACACGCGAATCTGAATGTTCAAGGAGCTCAGGAAACACGGACGCGATTATCGATTAGCTCGTCTTATCAGATTTGCTCGATCCACGACGATGCGGTAAGAACGCGGGAATGGTAGAAAATTGCTCGTCATCGGAGCGAAATTAAGCTAGTTCTCTCTCATAGCATCCATCCATAGTGTAATTAACGCTGATCGATACGAAAGTAAGGATTACTCACACTCCAATTTATCTTCTGGCCTGCCAGCTTCCAGTAGGGAGAGATAGCACACGATATCCTTGAGGCTGACTTTAACCGAGTGTACGTCTATCGTGCTCTGCTTTCTGACCAGGTGTCTCATCTCTGTAAATCGAAAGATAACGAAGTTAAAAAACCAGACTAATTTATCGCCTATCCTTTGTGTAACTGCTTCGAAACCTCTCACAATCTACTTCTTGGCTTGCTAAAAATTTATTTCATCGAATACAAGCTACTATTGCGAATACTTATCAAGAGTAGCGTAACTCTGTCGTCTCGGCTATTATTATACCGAGTGTCAGATCCGTACGAATTTTCCCGAGTAGCATATACCAGGAAACGTTAGCAGCAATGTTATTTTTAGGTTACAACGAAACAACTTTCGTCAGTCGTGTCTAAGAGCCGTGTCTAACAGTCGTGTCTAGAAGGAACCTGTTGCTTCGAAACGGGATTTAGGTGCCAAGTATCGATGCATCCACACGAGTGCCGCTCTAATTATAACGATCCAGCGCTGCACGTGCGCGATCGCTCTTGATAGACGCTCAGCCACGACGAATATTCTTGGAACGATATTTGTAAGCTGAACTTTCGTGTTTTATTCCGAGATCCCGCGCGGTAGCTAAGCAATCAGGCTGTCGAATGATCGAAAGCGTAACAAACGTTTGTTCTGATCGCGAGTTCCTCGTCAAGGTATATACTCTTTCAGTAACCAAATCTCTCGCTTGATTTATTCGATAAATTAAACTTTCGGTCGTAGAGCTTTGTTTCACGAATTAACGACGTTGCAGATCATTAGAGAACGCGTTGATGTTTTACAGAAATTAGAAAAACAACGGGACACTTGCGCGATTTGACGCCATCTTTGTTTCCAGGTATCTTCGACGCAAGGACGTCGGTGGTAAACGTTCCGGTTACATTCCAAAGGGAAATACCGAATATCAGCAGAATTCTATCCCAGAGAATCAATCATTGGTTCAGAAGCGTACGCAGACATCGAGGATGACTCGAAACTAGCGAAACGTGATTGCCTGGCCGAGGAGCACCTCGCGTGAGTCTAGTTCGTCACGACGCCCGATAAAAATAGTTGCCGAATCGGAGACGAAGCTTCGAGGACATCGATATTGCCCCTGAAATTCCCCCTCGTGATTTTACGAGTCTCCAGATACCTAAGCACCTGAGATGTTCCTGCTGCCGTTAGAGAAAAGAGGGCAGTAGAGAAAAAAATAAAAAGGAAGGAGGATAAAGCGGCTGGTCACGAGGGAAATAAAGGCGGCCGATCAATCGTGGAAGGAGAACGATTTATCTTTAGTACGCGCAACAACGTTGAAACAAATTCACCGGCTATTCTATTACTCTCTCCCGCGGTACGTTTCGCCTCGTCAGTGATTTCTCGATGGCCGCGTCATGATTTATCTCGCGGCGATTCCGAGCGATGCACAAACGAACCGCGAAAACTGATTTCTGCCAGGCGAGAGACACGCGCGGAATAATACCGCGCTTGCCTCTGGAAAAAGCACCGTGGCGCGAGTTTGCCCCGTTCTCACTTCCGCGTCACTCCTCTTCACTCTGCTTCCGCTGGAACTCTGTGAGAGCCGTCGCTAACACTGATTCCTCGACGGGAGATATGGTCGAAATCACTTTTCAAACGTTTACACGGCCAAGACAGAGATACGGTGGATAGATTTAATCAAACAAGATGGAAGTAGCGAGGTAGTTAGTTTTCAACAGCTTCGAGCAAACAGTTGATTTTCGATATAGACGCGGATGCAACAGCACTTTCGTATTCGAACCATAAATATTGATTCTAAGTCCGCAATTAAACGCATCGAGCCTTTCGTTCGACGGAAACGTTATCGTTGAATCGCGATCGCGCGGTAAGGTTAGAGAGATTCAAGGAATTCAAAGGGGATAGATGGCGTGTGCGGCTAATTATTCTCTCGAAAAGAGCACGAGCGAGAAAGATTCGTCTGTATACCGGTGCACACCGATCGTGTATATACGTAGCACGTTTGTTCGTAAAGCTGACTGCAATTTATTCCAGTGTGCAACGGGATCACGGCGAACAATTAATTTAATTGAAACTATCGATGCTGGCCGGATGACACGATTGATTGCTTCGTCGCGACGATCACGGCGTAATGAATAACCGGACGGGGCTAACTTATTCGACGTTATTTCCGTCGAAATGAAATCTCGCCGTATGAATAGAATTATTCCGGACGGCCACGTGCATTGTTTCCCGCTGCGATTAATCCAGGCCCGCGACAACACTCCGGCGATCCACCTGGCCGAAAGGGCACGTCGAAAAAGCGATATTCTTCCGTAGCGGTGTCATTTTTGCTTGATAAAAGGCTTCGCGTGTTTCAGCCAGCTCGAACGTCGGGAAATATTGGTTAGTCGCGCGGCGTGTGTCGGTGACACGAGTGTTTTACGTCGACATGGAAATTCATGACGTTTAATTTTCGCGTTATGCACGCTGGAACCTTCTGTTTAGCAGAATTTTAGACAGAATTTCCACTCCGGAAAGTAATTCCATTAATTACTTTTCCCGCTCGATCGACTACGAAATTCCATGTCATCCTTGTAATACGCGCAACGCTTTCAAACTTTTTGCAAACACGCGCGAGTCGTTTAAATACCAGTCGGTTCACCTTTTCTCGGCTCTCGGTAGTGGTCTTCTTTGCTCACCTTTCTTCGGTAACGTATCAGAGACCGGATCCGGTAAACGTAATAGCATTTCTTCGAGAATCGATGGTTAAAATGCCGTAACGTGTTTGTTCCAGGGTAAGGACATGGAAAACATAAGGGCAATCTCGAACAAGCAATGGTCGCGATAGACGATTATTATATGGCGGGAAATACGAAGATGACACTTGTTGCTTCTCGCGTGACTCGAGAGATACTGAGAAAGCGTATCGCGAGAGCTCGGAAACCTCTGAGAGTCGCGATGTACTCTCTTCTCTCTAAGCTTGACGTTATTTATACCAGACGATACCGGTTCGCGTTATTTCGGGAATCGAACGAGCACGCAAACTCATTGGCTAGTAGCGGGACAATCGAACGGCGAAAAAGATGTTTTGGTAGGGAGCGACCACGGGTGGCGGTAATATCGATTGACGTGTTTACTGGTTGCTACCGACAGGGGGTGGTGGATTCATACCGAACGATTCCACATCTTTTCTCGTTAATTTTAACACCGGGATCGTTTCGAGATAATTACCGAAGTTCGCAAATAAAGATATATTCGTTTGGAAGAAAGGAAAGAAGGAAGGTATATTATTTAAAGCGAATTGTGCGTCCCGCCGTGTATTTTCCCGCAGTCTTTTCATCGCTTTGGCGATTTTTACGAAACGAGATCTCTGCCGTTTTGATCAAGGAATCCGAGGTGTGACAACGTTTAAACGAGGCAAAGCGAGAACACAGCGTTTGATGTCGCGTTTCCTCAACTCTTTTCATGTTTCAAAAATATCGCCTTTGAGATTTCGTCGTTTCCCTTTCGCCCGAGACGACTCCGCAAACAGTTGGTCTTGAATTTCCTCGGATTATCCCGTGACTTTTCGCAAAGATCAAGCTGTCATTTTAAAATGACTATTTACGCGTTTTCCTGGCTCTAGGAAGTCGCGAAGCAGTTTAGTCTATCTCGTCAAAAATCCGCGTCAAAGTCTGCCAAATATTTCCCGACGTTCAACGCATTAAAGGTCACTCTTTGTCGCCATTCCCAGGTTTCCATAACAGCCATCCTTTACATCTTCGTAACGTGCAAACTTTATATCGGACACGTCTAGCGATAATATTAATAAGAACGCGACACGACTGACCCTGGAAACTTCAGCCATGTTGGATCGTCTTATAAGTTCGCCCCGACGTGCGTTTATACGCTTCACCGTGTGTTTTGTCATCCTAGCTCCTGTAAAACAAGTCAGAGGCTCCGATATTAAAATTTCTCAACGGTAGAACGGTCTTTGGCAAAAAGTCGAGAAGAAATTCCGGAACGGGAGAATAAAGGGGTAGATCGACCCAAATATCGGTAAGCCATATCTATTCAACTCGTGGCCAAGATGGCTCGTTGCCGGGGATGCGTGGCAGTTCGCGTGTCGAACAGGTTTAGGGCCTCGTATTCTTTCAATACCGCTGCGATAAGAAACGCACTTCCGGCCGGGCTGATGCGTCGAGTCATAGTTCAACCGCATTTACGATCGCGTTACCTCAGATCCGTCGTGAATAATGCATCAGCGTAAAAAATCGACGTCGCGCGGAGCGAAGCCTCCCTTTATCATATCGAGCGTAACGCTGTTCCCCTGGTGAAGAAGATTCCGCTCCATTCTCGAGGCGAACATCAATTTTTCCAGCCTGCCAAAGGGTATTCTCGTGTCGCTGCTCCGTTTCACCGTTTCGCTCTCGTGATCTCGAGTCGACATCCCGTGTGATCGTATTTTTGGCCCGCCTTAACGATACAGAAATTCCTTGGGCCGGCGACCATCCCATCGGTATGAAAATTACACCCCCGAAGATTTGGCCCCTTAAATTGAAACTCTGCTTCGAGCAGTAATATCGCGGCGTTCCGCAGCGGCGCTATCGAGAAATTTATCGTCGACTTGCCTAGGCAGCCAGCTTTAATGGAGGATTCGAACGGTATTATTCCACGATGGAGAGAAAATTTTCCGAGATTGTATGTAGGTCGTGGCGAAATTGTCACTGATCGCACGTCCCCGGGAAAGATAACTTTACCTAACGTAGCTGGGATTCTACCTTACTCGTCCGAGTAACGAGTGTCATCTCGCTGCTGCATCGTAAAACTCGACTGTTTCTTACACTTTTCTTTTATTTTTTCCCCCTTTATTCCGTGCATGATTTCTTTTAAAAGATCTATTCGAGAAGTTGCAAGAACCGGAGGAACTCGCTTTTCCCCCTGTACCGGTAATGGATCCGGTGGAACCTCGACACGAAAGAACAGTGAGTAAATTCGCGTGGAAAATGAATTTGTTATCGAGAAATGTACGATTGAGTATGCGTGGAGAATTTTTCCGTCATCCTGCGTGTGCGTGTGTACGCGACGCAGAGGGAAATCGATTAAGACGCGATCGAGCTACCATTAAGTCGTACACGTTCTTACAAGCTTTACGGTGTCGGACAGTTCGCTTTTATGGCATCGATTTGTTTGCCAACCTATATGTCACGACTCATCGTAAAGAATCCTACGACGATCATGGAGAGAAGGAGAGAGAAAGAGGGATAGAGAGTTACGTTATGATCATCCAGTGTCGTTTAACTCGAGATAGCCTATCGGCGTGAAAAATTATTCCTCGTTCTACCTCGGACCGAACGTTTATCGACTCCCCCTGCCGCTATACTTCACGAAACAAAACACCATAGTACATTTTCGCGCGAAACGTTGCAACGAAAGTTGTAACGTTGAATTTAAACGGAACGACTCGATTTACTTTGCGCGTAACTTCCAGTGTCGTCTTCGTATTCGAACGCGCGAGTTTGATACTCGTTACCGAACGTTTCCGAACTTCGGGGTTACCTTTTGATCTGAGAGTCGATGGAAAAGCTTCGGGGCTAGTTAAAGTACAACGCATATTCGTCGTAAATTCAGAACTAATTAAACTTAATGGAAAATAGCCTCTGTGTATTTTTACGAGATGTTGACTTTGTGCAGGAATATCTCTTCCACTCGTGCGATGGGACGTCAAAACGCACCGTCAGAAATGAAGAGGATGGACGGGAGGGAAGGAAAAAAGAGATAAAAAGGAAAAGAGTCCATCAGAGGATAACGTAATTCCGTTGAATGGCAGCCGAATACCGGCGAGGAGCGCGCAAATTGGTCGACGGCGTCGTTAACATCCAGCTCGACCTACCTTCCAATTTCCCGTTGTTGACGAGCAACGAATTGTTCGACTTCCTGGACGAATTCCGCGACATTTGGCTGTGACTGGGGCTGCTGTCCGTGCTCTTCTTCTCGATCACGTCGTGGCAGCTGTACGAGGTGTGCTGTATCGTCAATATGGGATGGACGCTTCCTTGAAGCCCCCGGATGAAACAGAAGAGAGGATATAGCCAAGTGAGCGATCGGATGACCGAACCGATGATGGAGCTTTCTGATTTATCGTGGCCCGATTCTCGATTTACTGGCTGGCAAAGCAACGTCTAATGGACATTCGCGGAGGGTTCATTGCGTTTCTGACCGCTTTTGTCTCCGATTCCGATCAATCAAATACACGGGCAGAGATAAACCGATACCGTCCCCATCCGGCGTGTGCGCGTTGAATTTCCCGCAACACTCAACATTTACCGGATGGAGGGTCACAGTACTACCGATATATTGTCTATAATGTCGCGTTAAATATTGATGCATTCGAGAGTCGAGCTGAACCAATCGCTAACGAGGGTTTCGATTTTCAATCGCACGATTTCCGGCCATTTTCCCGGAAATCATAATTACAGGACAAACTTTTGCGTCCCTTCGAATGGTTAAATAGCAGCTTTCTCCGCTATCGATATACGTATACATTAAGAGAGAAATCGCCATAGAGAACGGAAGGTAAAGATTTTTGCTGTACGTTAGATATACCTTGCGTTTACTTGAAGTATATATTATAAGTATCTTCTATGATACTCTTTTATTTCTACTATACTCTTTTATGCTATAGAAAGCCAGCTCTCGTGGAAGTTTAATCAAAGAGAAACATCGTCGAAGCATGTCGCGCACATAAAGAGACGCATCCGTCCATTTGCTTCCCCGCGTTCAGCTTTCCGTCTTTCGTTTACGCGCGAATTTCGTAAATGATCCAAGGAAAATCGGAGAACTTTAACGAACGATCGTTTCGAACAGTTTCGCTTTTCTTCTCTTCGCAGCTTGGATTATCATTTATCATCTATCGCGGCCGAACAATCAGATTCTTTTCGATGCTCACTGCCAGCATTGCGTGGTGGAAAATTGACACCCCCGACGTTTGGTGGCGAGATTAAATTACCGAATGGAACCGGTAATCATTCACGGTGACCCACATTGCAGGATCGATCGATTTTTTCCGTGTCGCGGCATCGAAACTCGCGTTTATACTCGTTTGTCGCCGGTGACAATGTCAGAAACGTTTGATCGCGCAATGTATCATTCGGTATTAGAGCGTGTCTCAGACGAATAAAAGGATAACTGACGTTTGTGCTGCCAATGTATCGTCCTCATCCGAGCGTTTGCCGATCCGATGATAAGTTATACACGGGTGTAAATCAGAGTCTAAATAACTCGAGTATTCGAATTCGAGAATATCATTCATTCGAATTGAACGTTCTGGTATCGTGTTTCAGCAAGGTTACACGATAGGGTTTACGAAAGGAATGTACCAAAGATATCCCTGTGGTCTGATCCTTTTGTATCCCGCGAGATACACCAGGCTAGGGTAAACATTTTGGTCTTCTCCCTGGATTAGAGAAAGTTAATATTGCATAATGTCGTTGTAGACTCGCACCGATGGAAAGATGATTTAGCGCGTTTACGTGCACGTATATTGCGCGTTTACACTGCAAATACCTTTGTCAAAGACCTAAATTTATCGTCGAAGGACATTCTAAATAGACCTTTCCTTCGACAACGTTCCAAGGATTAAACGACCACGAGGAATTAAAAAACAATAATAGCTTCCTTTCTCTCCGCGAGATCGAAGACGATCGCTTATGCGTTCAGCTCGTTTAACGATTAACCTCCAATTAAATACGCGAACATCAGTCTGGAACATCGGATTAAAAGATTTGTCGCGAAGGGGTAATTAATTCGTGACACGGAGTAAAATCGTAATTACCTGTGCGTGCCCTGGTAGAGGTTTCGCTTTCCGTTTTATGGTGTCCCAAAGCTTGCAGCTTCTCCGTGATCCCGTGGATTTTTTCGGCTAAAAAGGAACCGTGTCCTTCCGACGACGTTCCACCAGGAAGACCAGTGCTGTTCACGTTACTGCTCGATGTCGTGTGAGACGTAATGGCGGCACAGGCAGTCGTCGACGATAACACGGCCATTTCCTGATACGGGAATCGTTGCACTACAGTTAGACGAGGTGGTATTTTGACGAAAGATCCGAGCTATTTCATTCACGGATCGGTATGAAAAATTTCATCGAATATACAACGCTGCATGCGGCGAGTTGAATATTTCGCTCGAGGGCTACTCGGATCTCTTTCTCCTTTCATAGCCGCTGAGAGGTCACTTTCCGAATGTAAGAGTCTTTTGAGAAACGAAACGAAGGGGAAGCATACCTTGAAAGCTTTCCCATCGACTCCCCGTGGCACCCTTTTGACGAACGATAGGAAAAGGTGCCGTGAAAGTTCGTCGGGGCTCGACACCTCGAGATAGGTGTTCAGGAATTTGCGAAATTCCTCGTAATCGATGTCCTGAAACAAGAACATTTCAATGATAACCAGCAGTGCATATTTTAAAGCGTATGCTCGACGTTTACGCTATTCGGGCATTATCGATGGCAAACGCGTTTGTCCTAATTCGATGATTTTAATTCCGACTCGGCGTGGAATCGGAAAAAGCGATCAACGATAGCGGAGTATTTGGAAATAAATGCAATTTAAATCGATTGTTTATAGAAATCCATTTGGAAATTATAAGCCGTCCAATGCTAAATTGGCTCGATGGTACTTAATTTAATCAGTCATCGTAATTGGGGTCTGTTATCATAACTCGTGACGTTCCGGTTCACGATTTAAATGTTACGCCGACAAATCAATTATAATCGTTGTAATAAAAATACCATTCTCGATACCGAATCAGCAAATACTAATGGTCATACTCGAGTACCCTCCAAGTTCATCTGAAGGTCACTCGAGGATCATTCAAGTCACGATATCATTGGTGTTCGAGGCTTATTCAAGATCACGACAAGTGATGATGATAACGCTTGCGTAATTTACAACAAGGCATAATGTAACACGGATTGTCCGATGAACCGAGCAATTTCGACCTGACGATTCCGCGAATGCTTCTCAGATAGTACTCATGCCGTGACGCAACGAAATCCTACCCCAGACTAAGTCTCCTGACCAGTCGATTTAACGGGCCCAGAATTTCAACGGCGGACACACATATTAACTCGATAATAGCGATGTCCATCTTGTAATCAGCAATGTTGAATAGTTTGCTCGGCACTGGCCGATCTAGATCAGTGGCTATTATGCACGGATTACACGTTGATCTAAATCTTGTTAACGCGTAAGCTTTCCGCACACAAAGCCGGCGATGGTGTTCGCGGGCTAAAATGAGTTTCCATCGGGCGACCTGGACCACCATATGGGAAACTCCCTGCCGAGGAAATGGCCTTCCGCCGTTCCACGAGCGACGAGTATTAAAATCGTTTTCCGAACAGATTAAAATTACGATGTCGATCGTGGACCGGTAACGCAGTCGTTCCCGTTGAACGGTTCAACGGAAGACTTTGGATGTCGATAGTCGCGCGACAGAGATGAAATTAAATTTCTCCGGGGCTCAGGTGAAAGTTTCTCGAGCACCTGTGTGACGAAGTAATTGCTCTAATTGGTTCGATATTTTCCCATTATGTCGGCATACCTGTTGATCAACAGCGGGGGCTCTCGATCTAGAAATCTTGGTATTGCTCGAGACGTCGGCGATCGAACGGAGAAAAATGCTTGCAAGCTGCGGGCCGTCGAAGTTCAAAGGAAATTGGTCAAACGACGAGTCGTTGTATCGAAATTAATCGCGAGTACGCGATATTTCGACAGGATCACGGTGTCATACCGCTAAACGCGTAATACCCAGAAATCTCCTCGATTACGAATATCCTTTCGGATATCTAGATCGAATATATCTCCTAACGTGTAAACATTCCATTATTCCACGTCCCCCCTCCCCTCGTTCTCGTTAATTAATTTACTCTTTGCTCGCAAAATTTCGTTTCGCACGCATACACGCGTATTTAACATAATCGATAATTACAGGTACCTTGAAGCAAGTTCGCGCGATATTAATTAGCATTCATTAGTTGTCGCTCATGAATACCAATTATAATCACCCGGGTGTTTGTTTCAGCTACGACTTCATCAAGGCTCTCGAATAATGCGTTTGTGACATTACAAATGATTAATTATCGTGACCCTTTTCTGCACCCCGCCTTCGTTACCAGAATGTTCGTTATAGACACCATTACTTTGCCGGCTAACCCTATCCCCCTCTCCTGCTTCGATAGATACTCCTGTATCGCCATTTTTCTTCTACGGTGTTTAAATAATTACACAAATCGCATTCATCGTCTTTAACAAATCTGATCCTTTCCGCTGTCTGTTGCACGGATCTTGTCTCGATGTAAGCCATTAACTTTTCAATGCTAATTAGTCGATACGGTTCGTACAATCGGCATTTGTAACTTGAAGGCGCTATTCAAGGCGTTTGACCTCCTAAGTCGCGGGCGTCTTTTAATTGCACGAGCAAGTTAATGAGGAAACAAGCCGGCTACGGGTCCTTAACGACCAACCCAGTTTCGCGTCTTATTTGAGCAGATCCGTTCGAGAGCGACATTTATCGATGTTCCAGCCAACGCGAGGGCGTTGCCTTTCACCATTTTTCTTCTCCTTTTCCTTCCGCTCCCTCTTTCTTATCTTCCGCTCATCCCTGTTCAGCCCGAGCGGCCACGGACGATAAAGCTTCGGAACGGACCGCGGGTACAAAGCGAAAGGGCGCAGTTACTTGGTCGCGAGCGACCGATAGTACGAACACGCTCGTCCCGAAATGCCGGATTATCTCGAGAGAAAAATGCAATTTCGACTTTATTGTCCGGCACACGACGTCGAAACGTGCCACCGATTCCGAGCAAAGACACCCGCACAGGAATACTCGATATTGTAACGTTCGCCTCAAAGCGTCGCTCGCAAGCTTCGTATTCCACGGTTAGGTCGTTTTACGCCTGCTACCGTTTTACGCCTTTCATGCATTTCGAAACGTCGCCATTTACTTCCCACGAACCCTCCACGTCCACGAATATATCTCCCAGACGATCTTCCGCATTACTAACTTCAATTACCGCCACGTTTACGCAGCGACGGTTCAAATAATACAACGATCTATTATAAAAATAGGCCAAGAGCCCCCGAATTTTTGTATTATCAATTCGTGTTGTTTATAATAACCGCGATGGCTAACATCGCGATGAAAATGATAAAAAATTGATATTTTAGGAGATACGAAAATATGCACGGTTTTACGCAAATTCGGGGAATAAAATAGGACTAGGTTAACAGGTTAACAGGTTAAAAGGGAATTTTACGTAAAATCGAAACCGTGTTAACGTTATCGTCGAGAATGTTATCGACTTGGCAGTAGAATAGTTCCGAATCGCTAGTTCCCTATAGAGAAAAAGTGCTCGAGTGCAGGGGGTTGGTAATGCGATAAGGAAAAAGGCAGTGTTAAATGTCTCGATTTATTTCGAAAAAACCTCTTTTCAACTTTTATCCTCGCGGATTAAACACTTGGAAATAGTTCACGAACGTATCCATTACCGCGGGAATTAACCCGAGCACAGGTCGGTCGGACGAATGCTCGAATTTACTACTTAACAGGCGGCGCGAACGCGTTTGCCGCAATTGTATTTCACCTAGCGTTTTCTCGTTGTAAACAACGCGTTGGTACCGTGAACGTTGCCGATTACGAACGTTCTTAGAGTAAAGCAGCCGATTCAGGCAGGTTGTAACCTTATCTCACGATTGTTCTCGCGTCACGGTTTATGTATTGCTGGCTGGCCGGTTAGTTAAGCCAAGTGCTGCTCTTTCAGCGGCTTCCTTGAAACGAGTTGCTCGTGCAACTGTAGTATTCAGGCCCGAATGAACCTCCAGAAATATGTAGAATCAGGATATAAATAGCTTAAAATAGGGTTGAATAAAGAAGGAGGTTGGATGAACAGTGATGTATACAAAACTAGAAGACGATACGAAATAACGCTATACTACTCTTTTCGCTACTTCTTTCGGCTTCTCGCTATGAAGCTGCACACAACTCTCCTGGGAAAGAATCGTCCTTCATTTTCCTTGATTTTCCTTAAAACTACCTTTACCCCTTCAGTCGCTGAAAATATCGTAGACCCATCGGTGGACTGTTCGTCGACGAACGTTTTCCTGATGAGTCTGATCTTCGTCCTATCACCTCACTTTCTCTTGCTTTCTCCTTTATCGCCCTTTTCCGCTTAGGGTCCTCAAACGTTTGACACTACACAGTCGATACGAATTTAAAGGAAAAAAAGGAACAAACAAGAGACTCCTGGTATCTGTTTTTACCGCAGCTTCGAACATGGTTGTCACCGTGTACACCTGCAAGTCACTTAGATCTCGATTGGCAGGTAAAAAGCTTGCTACGGCACTGGAACGTTGTGAAGAAGCAATCGTGGTATATAGAGTCTCATTGGTCTCGTTAAAAGCTGCCTTTACGACGGCATACCCGCGTAAGTTTACGTGATAAATAAAGGAGATAAAGGGACACGTCGGAGAGGTGTTACAATGGAGTGTAACTACAGAAATTTCTTAGGAAATCGTCGATTAATCTCCGACCGAGTTATTAGTTCCGTGAGTTTGTACTTGCGAAGCTCCCACTCTTTATGGTCCACACCATATTCTATATTTCAACCAGATTCATATCCCACGAACTGGTATATCTTTATCAAACGAAACTTTATTTCCAGAAAAGTCTACATTCCGAGAGCGAAAGGACATGGAAACAGAGAAGAAAAATTAAAACAAACTGGACGGGAATCGTTTGGAAAGGTTACGAAATTAATGTAAAGAGCGGCCATGTTGGATCAGGCCCAAAGTTCAACAGCGTTTCGGGAAAGGTAGCCACGCGAAGTTGCATCGAGACGATTGCTCTGGCCAATGAAAATTTTGTTATCCTTCGCTGGAGGAAGGAAGAGGACGAAGAAAGATCATTCGGAAATTCCATCTCTCCCGTATCAGCGGGTCAACCTAAATATCTTCGGTGAAACAGAAACCGAGACGAGGGTACCGAAAGATGTCGGGAAGACCGGGCGGAAATCAGTGCGGAAGGTGCAGGAAGTGTGCGAAGTGGGGTAAGAATTTCAGCGAGGGTATGAAATTACGACGGAGCCGAATCGTGGCAGAGGGATTCCTTGGGCAATCGCGAATCGACGGTATCGTGGCTTATCCTCGATATACGATCGCACGAATGTGCCGGAAACTGGGTCACACTCGTTGGCCGAAGGAATATCCGCATGAATGAGACAGGACACGGCCATTAAGCTTTGGGAAGAGACAGAGCGTGGGGTCGGTGAAGGGCGAGGCGACGAACGGCAGAGTTTAGAGGAGGATAGAATCGAGGTTGTTCTCAATGGTCACGTAAGGGAGCGTTGGTGACGTCAGCGGGCCGATGA